TATGCAATAAACACCTTGAACCAAGATCCCTTACAAATTGTTCACCACCAGAAGTGTGACCCTACTCTTAAGACCATCATCCAGATGACAAGTAAAGACAAAGAAATAATAATAATTTGCTTTTTTCCAAAACAGTACTTGTGATACAGAATGGAATTCCCAGCATTTTTACTACAGTATTGCATCCAGTTAGTACATTGTCAATAAATAGAATTCTACATAGATTGAGGAAACCACAGTTCATTATTACAACAGTACATTGGCATGTTCAGTAGCAAAGGTAAAGCTGAAACAGTGTTTGAAGGTGTTAGAAAAGTGGGAGCTGTCTTATTAACTGGCGTAAGCGAAAGAAAGAGACAAAGCAGCACATAACGGAAAAAGAAGAGAGAGAAAAGGAACAGAAAGAAAGGAGATGTTGAACCTATTGATGAAGTGGGTTGGAAAGATGAGATCCAGTTGTACTAATGACTATTTAATGAATTATAGGTGTCACGCCTAATGCTTTCTTTATCACGCAGAACGCGAGCTAAGTAGGGTATGGTAGAGTTTTTGTACTTGCTGGTGCGAGCATATAGTTTTCTATATTGGCTTCTGGTTTTACCTGATGAGATGCAAGGGGAGAGTTGTGAGTGAAGAGTGTGGTGTGAGTTAGATAAAATGGACTTGGCCCATTTTTCACATGAGTCCATGTGCCTGTCAACCAAAATATTAACAAGCTGGTTAAGTGGCACGTTGCTTACTCTGCTGACAACATTTAACATCCTGCGTAATATGTTATAGTCTTTCTTCAGTAGCCCAGGAAAAACTAAGGGGGAACAATAGAGAATAATAGGCAGGATGCGAGAATTAACGAGTTGTAGGAGTAGGGGTTGGGTAATACCAGAATGTTTTAACTTCTTAATGTAGAGGGCAAGACGGAATATTTTCTTAGAAATTGCTAAGATATGAGACGACCAGGAGAGATCAGCAGATAGAATGACACCTAGGTATTTAATTTCCGATTTAGTTTCTATTTCAGTGCCGTCTATTTTGCATACCTCGTGAGAGCCAAACAGTTTGTTTAGGTCGGATTTATGCCTAAAGGTGAAATTGACTGTTTGGCATTTGGAAGGGTTTAGAGTAAGACCATTTTCCTTGGACCACTGGTTGATTTCTGACAGAAAGTCATTAAGTTTAGAGCAGTCGCTTTGACATTTGATAGGCAAAGATACAGACAGATCATCAGCGTATTTGACAAAATTAATGTCATTTGAAGATGGTAAGTCATGTAGAAAGAAGGAAAAGAGAAGTGGGGAGAGTACAGCGCCTTGGGGGACTCCGGCTTCAGTGAGTGCAGCAGAGGATGATTTACCTTTGTATACGGTGTACTGCTTTCTGTTAGAGAAGTAGGAATGCAACCAGTTAGTGACCCAGGACTCAGTTTTCGTCAAAGAGAGCTTATTTAGAAGGAGACATCTAGGAACAGAGTCGAAAGCAGAAGTGAAGTCAAGAAACGTGCAGCGGACGTATTTAGCACCTTTATCTAATGATGAGACGATGTTGTTGTGTAAGACAGCTGCAGCGTCTAATGTACTCCTACCCTGTCTATAGGCAAATTGTTTTGGGTCTTCGAAGTTTTTAAGGGAGGGTTCGAGTTTAAGAAGTATTAGTTTTTCCATAACCTTTAGAAACGGGGAAGTGATGGCAATGGGTCTGAACTTTACGTTCTTGCCATTTCCAGGTTTAGGGACAGGGACAATTTTGATGTCTTTCCATGCATCAGGTACGATATTTTTGGAGAAAGAGGCATTTAGGATGTTGGTTAGTGGAGAACACAACACATCTGCACATTGTTTTAGAACATAGGCAGGTATACCATCAGGACCTAGGCTACGTGAGGGTTTGAGTGTTTTAAGACATTTTAGAACATCGAGAGTATTAAAGTCATGAAAGTTTTCAGCAACATGATAGGTAACATTAGAGGTAGTTAAAGTAGAAGGACAGCGTATAAAAGACTGATTAAGAGCATTAACATCATAAGAGGGAAAAGTATTACAACGCTTACTATTACCAGTAATTTCATTAAAAAGTTTCCACATACTGATTGGAGATTTACATGATAAAAGAGTATCATTATATATAGCATTAAGATTTTTGATTTCAGATTTGATCTGAGCATTAATCTTTTTGAGTCCTAACTTGTCTTTGGATTTGTACAAAGTTTATTTTTTCCTGCGAAGTTGTTTGAGATAAGGAGATGAGAAGCGGTCGAGGCGTTTGAATAGTGTTTGTTTGGGACAGCATATATCAAGGCAGAACTTAAGATAACCCGTTATATTGACGATTGTGTCATCTAATGAACTTTCATGGAATAAGTCCCAGTTAGTATTTTGTAACATGCACCTTAGATTGAGTAAGTTTTCGGATGAGTAGCATCTTTGTTGTGCTTTCATTGACAGATGCGAGAAGACGAGACGTCAGTGGAGAATAGAGAGTTGAAGATGCTACTGCATCACAGACATAGACTGAAACTAAACGCTTCCGGAGTCCTAACTTGGCAAGACAATGATGGTGGCTGGGTTACGGTTACACAAAAGAGCCTTCGTCGTGAGCTAATCCAAGAATGCCACTGACTAGCTTGAACAGGCGTTGCACGGACAAACGATCTAGTGGGCTGAAGTAGGTATTAGCCAAATATGAGTAGCAATATTTCACACTACTTACTCGCTTGCTGTCAGTGCCAGTTGATGAAGGGTGATCAGTGGATTTGACCACCGCCACAAACGATTCCCGTAACGTCAGTCGGTGACTTGTGGCCAGTGGACAAAATGGGTCTTTTCCTCCAAACATCCAGTGGAAATCAGTACATTTTGGTGATGACAGATCACGCCACGCGGTAGGTAAATGCCACGGTGATTTCTGATCGGCGTTCCAAGACCGTAACCAAGGCAGTAGTTCGATATGCTGCGGCTGGTCATGGTGTACTAAAGATAATATTGACGGATCAAGGTCTCTGTTTTGAGAGTGAAGTGTTCAAGACTCGTCAGGAGGACTGGGTATTAAAAGAATTACGGTCACTCCATATTATTCTCAGACAAACGGCCTAGCAGGAAGGAATAATCGTACACTAGCTGAATTGAGAGGCTACTGGGAAACTGACCTACCGTTGATATTACTGACGCATCGTGTCATTATATAGGGGACAACAAAAACCACCCTTCCAGTTGACGTATGAGGGGAAACCACGCTTGCCGATGCCTCATAAGACCTGGCCGCAACAACATTAGGACAGTAAGAGATGGACAAGTGAGCGGAAACAAGTTATTCAGAATATAATAAAGGAGAAAAAAGAATACATCGAGGAAGCTGGCAATAAATAAATCAATGCTTGGAAGCCATTTAAAGAAGTCAACCAGCTGAAATGTAGAGAACGGAAGTAAACTACTGGAGGTGGAGTAAGATCAGGAAGGCCTCTCTCAAAGTGGGAGGGGCTATGTGGTTACATCGAGACGTAGTACCGCGTAAACAATAAAGAGAGGAGATGAAGAAGAGAGAGTGAACGCCAGTCTGCTACAAAGATGCATACAAAAATGTCAAGATGAGGAAACCGAAGAACAGCGGGTTGGGCCTCTGTGCGGCGATCCAGGAGGTCACAAGAAAACTTTATAATGGTGAGGTGTGTGGTGAGCGCTACCCATAATCAGATATAAGTAGTACATCATTAAACGAATTCAGAAAAGTAGCAATGTTTCGGTCATTGGCGAAAGCAGTTGAAGAACAGAACTGTGAGAAAAACATTAGAAACACTGTGCAGAATCAAACAAGCTACCGAATGTGGTGATATTCGACCGATCTAAAAATGATGCGCGAATAAAGACTTAGAGACGAGGTTAACCGAATTTATGCAACAATAATGCGTTTGTCCTGTCGCCTTCAAGCCTCATCCATCTTCTCTTCTGTACAGTAGAATCCATGATTTTCAACACCCTCAGCCAAATAAAGGGCTATTATTCATATGGGAAGTTGCATCCTGACGAGATTTGTCAGCAATTCCATAAAAGTGGTGGAGTCTACACCTTCAGAAGAACTTGTACCACCGATGAGAGGAGTAGACTCTGAAAAGCACCCTGTCGAATGCACTCTAGTTTTGTCATGCTACACAAAAAGGGTTTCTTTCGTCCACAAAATCCATATACCTGGTAATACAAATATATTTCCTATCTATGTAGGACACACCAGTTGTACAGGCATGGATAAGTATTATTTACATTACATGAATTTGATTTATAGTGAAATTACATGGTTGCTGTCCTCCCTGACATTAGTTAGTGAGTACAATCTAATAGCTAGTCGTTCAATGGAGCACATTAAGAAGTTTGGAAAATTGTCTTCGCATTAACAAAGAAAACCCAAGTATGTGTTGGGTAACCAATCGTGGAACTTTGCCGGTGGTGGCCTCATTGTATGACCCCTATAGTGTTACCTACTGAACAGATACTACAAAGATTCTACAAATTAAGCCTGGATTGGGATGATGAAATACCTAAGAACGAAAGCGATATGTGGATCAAATTTCTGTATGTTTTTGAAATGGTTGTGAGTTCATCATTTTCGCGTTGTCTACGGCCCTGTACACGAATCAGTTAACTAAGCAGTCACATATCTTTTGCGATGCCCCCGAATATTGTCATGGAGTGGTGGCCCGTACTACACATTCTAAAGAATACAAAAGCGCCTGTTGTCCCCTCACTATGGCGAAAGCCTGTTCAAATCACATCATGGCTTGAACAGGCTGCAGCTGTCTTAGAGGTTCCCGTGGGTTTCTAGTGGGTTCAGAAATGAACGGATGTTAGCTTCTCATGGGTGACATGCTGGAGTGACTGCATTGAGAATACAAATGATCGGTTTATGATATTTTTGGCTAACCAATCTCGACAATTCATAACCTTACAGAGTCTCCTCAGTGGAAAAATGTTCCCTCGAAAGAGAATGCTACAGATTTTGTATCTCCGTCACGGTTTTACTCTTGTGATTCGTTGCATGAAGGGGGAAGAATGTTTTGATTTGACCACCATCCTTTTAAGATTCAGCAATGTCGAATAGCGCATTTGGCCCAGTTTTGAGTTCAGGCATTGGTATGCCCAATATTATAAATAGTAGTAGTAGTCATAATAGTAGTAGTAATAATAATATTCCATCAATGAAAGACGAGCATACCACCGCTTTAGGCTTAAAAGCTATTTATGCAGCTTGTCGAGTGTTGTATCCTGACCAGCCGACTCCGTTACAAGTAACAGCTGTTCGAAAATTTTGGATGGGTGGACCAGATCCCCTGGATTTTATTAATATGTATGCAAATCCTGGTTCTGTGGAATTACAAAGTCCTTCACACTGGCATTATGTAACTAATGGTTTATCTGATTTATACGGGGATTCAAGGTTACACAGTCATTCTAATACAACTGATGGTCCTAGCGGTTTCGGTTTCGAGTTAACATTTCGTGTAAAACGTGAACCTGGTGAGACAAATCCACCAACCTGGCCAGCTCATTTATTACAAAGTCTTGCACGTTATGTATTCTATTCACAAGCTCAATTAATGGCTGGTGATCATATCCCCTGGCCTACATCATTAGATAAACAACCGAATTCAGCGCAACAATCTGAGAAACGACAGCCTCATCATCCTTCTCAACAACAACAACAACGGACAGATAAGCAAATCAATACAGAAGAACTGGAAAATGCTAGAAAATCGATTGCTATGGCAGCTGCAGCCACTGCAACGTCTATCTTAGCTGCTAATAGTGCTAAAACAGGAATGACAGCGTCAACATCAGCTACTCTGTCGGCATTGACGAATCCATCAACGTATGCATCAATGGTTGCAGCGGCTTTAGCTGCTGTCTATAATAATAATAACAACAATAACAGTAGCTCTTCATCAGCGAACAACACTTCAGAGGATACTACAGTTAAAGAAAAACAATCAGGCAATAATTCATCAAGTTCACGTATACATCATATGCTGTTAATTGAAGATCCTCAGTTGAAAAAGATAACAACACCATATGGTTATGTTCAATTCTTACAGTTGGTTGGATTGTGCGACGAAGAATTACGTTTAGTACAACGATGGACTGGTTCACATGTCGCTGAACTGATGAGTTGTTCCATTGCAACTGGTGGTGGTCGCCTTGTAACAGATATGAGAAGAAATTTAAGTCTATTTGAATTACAACCAAATTTAGTGGATTATATCAATGAAAAGTTGAAACGTGAAGGTTCTAATTTATCCGGTGTTACTACATCATATTTCGCTTGGTCACCTATTACATTGTCAGCTTTAGGTGAACTCCTTCCTGGTGAGTTGGAATCACGTCGTTTACGTCGTCAAACACAGAAACATGACTGCCCTTCACCGTCAGCATCGTTATCAACGAGTTGTTTGTATACGTCGAAAACGAGTGGACAATCATTGTCTAAATCGATTTTATTCCCTAATTAAAGTTCTACGCATAAATCGGATACAGATATTGGGTCGAAAACAATAGCAATGGATACGGATGACACATTAGTTTCATATTCAGTGAAGAAACGAATTGAAGAAGATGAATTTGTTGATATTGTTGGTGGCAATGGAGGGGGTGGTGGTCATGTCGGTGGCGGTGGCACCGGTGAGGATGTTGACTCAACAGCTGCACAAAAGTTAACCAGTGAGAATTATATCCACTCATCAACTACAGCTATTGGTTCAATGTCGCCTGAAGTGAATTCATCGTTGAAAATGTCACGTTTTGAGTCGAAATCACGTGTTATATCGTCTATGAGTAATCGTAATGCAGCAGGCGGCACAGATGGACAAACAATCAGTGCACCTGGTGGTTTCTCGGCATGGTGTGGACGAGTAGGACCGATGAATATGTTTAATCAATCATCATTTGGTGGTCATCATGGAATGAATAAAACCGGTGGAAATAGTTGTGCATCCAGTGGAGGTGTATTCCGTGGTTCTTTAGTAACCTCACCTACAGAGCTGACAAATTCACTTGGCGGTGCACTTGGATTTAAAACATTCAACTCAGAACTACCAACGAATATGATTACAGATAAATTGTTTGGTCCGACTACAGCGATGACTGCTACTGCTACTACTACGACTACTATTGAGCCTAAAGGAAGTCGTACTCCAGGTACTGGAGGTGGTGGTGGCAGTGGAAGTACTACTGGGGATGGATCTGCTCCATGCACTCCACTAGCGCATTTATCACTTTCTCCGGCAAGTTTAGATATGATGCCAACACGTGTTATTGACTATTTGGATGTACATTTATGTCGTGAAGCTGGTGAAATGCTCCCGTTGGCGGTGAATGATCGTCTGCGTCATGGTAGACATTTTACATTTTTAAATGCTAATTATCCCGATCATGCAATCACATTAGTTCCAACTGGTGTGTCTGGTGCATTTGTCAGTGAAGAGACACCATATGTTGCTCGTGGACCATGGTTACAGATTCTACTAACAGATGACTTTTTGGAACAACTGGAATTTCAATTCTCATGTTTATTATATCCAGATGAATTACGTCTCCCGTTGGTATTCCGTTGGCCTGAAAGACACCTACGTATCTGCTTGATTGATGTGAATTCACCAACCTCTTCGTCTGTAATACCAAGTGGTGGTTGTGGAGGAAGTAATATCCCAACGAATCCTCTTCCATCCTCATCAGCGATGTCATCCACTTTGATGAACTCGAATACGCCTACAACACCTCCAACTACTACTACTGTCAGTGCTTCGGTTACACCATCTCATCCTCAAAACCACCCGCATAATATTCACTCTATTGTATCGAAGGCATCAAATTCCCCGTGTAATTGGAATATATCATCAATGTTTGAGAATAAATTGTTATCGACTAGTGGGACACCTTCTTCAGTTATGCCACAGCAACAACAGCAGCAACAGAATGCATTTACAAAAACTGATTTATTATTCCCTTCACCATCAGCATCGTCGTCATTATTTTCATCATCTGCATCGTTGTTTCCACCGGGATGTATCCCACCGCCGAATGTTTTAGCCTCTTTATTCAGTTCCTCAGCCGCTAGTAATATGAATAGTAATAGTAATAATAATAGTAATTCTGGAAGCATTCATAGAAGTACCAATACTACTACTTCTACTGCCAGCAATATTCCGAGTACTAATCCTGGAAGTAACAATAATAATCGCAGTGAGTCATCTCAAACAGAATTACTCAGAAATCCTTTTCTCCAATCGATATCTTCTTTACAACAAACCCCGTTGGCGTCAACTATGCCAGTTCCATCGCCAGTACATCCTCAACAGCCACAGTCATCATCATTGCCATCTTCAACAGACTCTGGTGTAATGATGAAAATGGATCCAACCGCCTTTATGAATAATTGGTCAACATTTTTACAAACACTCATGAATAATAGTAGTAGTAGTAATGCGGATGTCTTTAGACAGGCGATGTTCACTGGTCATCCTAGTAATCCTAGTGCTTATTTTATGGAAATAATGCAAAGTATCCTGAACAACAGTAGTAGTAGTAGTGGTAGTGGTAGTGCTAATAATAATAGCGGTACTAATCCCAGTGTTATGCTGCATCATCCACTGACTGCTATTACGTCATCCGGTGGTGGTGGTGGTGGTGGGGCAGGATTACCGTCTGCCACCGCCTCATCGTCATTATCAGTAACTAGGCATTTTTAAACAAAGAACCTATTGAATATGAATCAAAGTTGAGCACAGCGATAGTGTTTACTCATTCATTCATTCATTGGCAGGGAATTACTATTAATGACAATGATAAGTGGGGATCCGGGCAGACAAAAGACGACCCTGAATGTTAAGTAATCTCTTTTTATTTCGTCATGTTTTCAAGTTGTGCACTTACTATCCTTGAATTTATATCTAATATTATAGTTTATTTAATGAGCACATATTTATTTATATGTAATTTCATTGATTTCTTTCATTGTCATTATTATCATCATAGTAGGTAGATAGGTAGTGGTACATTTAACTCTAGTAACATTTAAACTTTACAACTATTATTAGTATTAATATTGTTATTTTTCTCATTGAGATGACTAAAAAGTATACTTAAGCGCCATTCGACAGATAGATAGACAGAGAAAGCGCCATTTTTGCCCTTCAACCGGTATTCTTCACTCTTATGCGCCGTATGTATTCCTTCTTCTTTTTGTGTGTTTTATTGCGTAATTACCCCGGTTAAATACGATAATGATGTAACAATACATCATACTACCCTTGATTGATAGTGAACTTTAAAATATCACTCTGTCACATTATTTCATTTTGTATCTCCTGGATTGCGCTTTTAGGATGAATGTATCAAGACATTTCACAACGACCCTTTATTCCTAGATCATTCAAAGACTGATTGGTCGGCACCAGGCATAATCGTGGTACCAGATGGCAGTCGAATAGAGGTGAAGACTAAAGCAGTGGTAAATTTCGCATTTAGCGGCTTTGACTTGGATCGTGTTCTATATTACTTCTCAGATTGGACCAGGTTGTCGAAAGCAATAGGTTGGGTGCCTCAATTCAAGCGATTTGTGCTTATGATGCAGTCTAACAGAATTGTTATATCTCCTAATTCGGACCCACTGAAGGCAGATGCATGACAACGTGCTGGATAATACATCATCGGAAGTACATTTACAAGATAAATACTTGAAATGATAGTACACATTTGTAATGTTCAATGCTAACCAGATTGGTCTTACCATAGAAAACTGTGACATTTTCGATGAAAACAGTTTTTCTCAAACATGGGTGTTGCCATTCTGTTTCTTTCATCAGAGAAACCAGAATTTAAGCGAATGAAGAATGTGAATGAAAAGAGTACATTTTAGCCTTATTAAAGACCTAGGGAGTGGAGGTAAAATAGAGTATAAGAGTAATTAGATAAAAAATTGTTGTGAAGTATATAAGTGACATTTCAGAGAGAAGTGGCTTGAAAGATTAGAATCTGTAGGATGTGCTGACCTGTGGGATGTCTGGCGAATTTGTGTACGGCCTATGTGGTTAGCATCTTGACAAGGAGCTGAGCAGGCTTGTAGTTGCAAGGAGCATAAGCATTTTTTGTAATTTAGATCTGTGCAGTCATCATTGCTATTTTAAGTTAATTAATTTTTTATATTGAGGATCTAAGCTCATGTCTAATTCTCGAGCTGTCAAAAAATGCATGTTGCTGTCCTACAGATCGGAGTGATTCACATTTGCGACTACTATCATATCTGCCGATCAGCATGTGCCACTCTCCCTCCTTCTTTGACATTAAGCACTGAGACCTTCTGCAATGACTGTAGTTGCAATATTGCATTGCTTTGATTCCGTCTCAACCATACAGCATGCTGCACACTTACATCTTTCATGAGAAGTGCTTTCCATTAGGTCACCAGACACATCAATACCTGAGGGCATTCTTAGCAGTATTATCATCATACATATGTGCAAGCGGATCACTACAAAAGACTAGGAAATTAAGTTTCCCTTAAGAATTATGAAGTGTAGAAATAGCCAGTATTAAACAGAGTGATAAGGTTATGTAAAGTGGCCCTGACAAAATAACTGGTTATCAGAACTTGTTATGCTAAGTTTTCATGACGGCTTTTCATATGGCATGCTCTAAACTATTACAACTACTTAAGGATTAAACGTCCAGGCTGATCATAGAATCTTTATCTTGAAAAAGATAATAATGATCGCCTGGACAGATCATGCTTCTAACTTTAAGCATATACCATTCGGTCAGCCTATTGCTGAGATGCGACCGCGTGGGCTCTGCTCAGATTTATGGGGCATCTTATAAATTAACATGCTTTCCTTTGTCGTATCTTCGAATATCACTTCACAATGTCTCATCTCATTCATTTTCTAATTACGTCTTCACTTGCTCATTATATTCCACTAAACCCAACATTTTATAGCTCTTTATGAATCTGATTCGACTTATTTTATTCCTATTCTCTATAGGGTACAGTTGTGCACCAAATACACAAAAAGGTATGAAATAGAAACAACCGGCTTGTGGATAATTGTATTAAAACCAAAAGTGGACATCATGATAGTAAGACCTATATGGGTAGCATTATACATTGCAAATGAACTTTGTCAGCCTAGGGATTATAGTCTCCCATTGTATTTCCTTTATGAATGCATCTATTAATGATACATTGAACTTACCTATTCCATTACACTTTAATGATTCACCTTAGCACCTTTACTTTTCTAAAACATCTTACTATCCCTTGTAAGCGTTGTACTTGCCTCAATATTGGTTGGCTATCGTATGCCTACAACTACGGGTTGAAAACGAAACGAAGTCGATTTTCCTGCGCAACCTGGAGGACTACTGTTTAATTCAATAATGATACGACATGGATCAGACAATGAGTGTATTTATATATATATCAAATATTTAGCTGTTCAAACATTAACTTGCAGACAATCTACTATTTGACATTATATCATACTTGATCGTGCTTGTAAAAGTGGCATGCATTTTCATGTAAATTTATGTTTACATGAAAATATAAATTATTATTATTATAGATAGTCTTATGACTTTGTAAACTTGTTTGATGAAATGTCGACAGGATTTCTAATAAGCTGAATAACCGAGCCTTAGGTCAAGCACCGTGAAAAGCATCGTGCTGGTGCTCTCACGGTGGCTGGGGCAAATCAATTTCCTCAAGTTGGGGGTATTGTATCGGGGTCTGTAGTACTAAAATTAGTCGAACAGTCCGTATGGGCAAAGTATGGATAAGTAGACCGAAGCACTTTGACTGGAGCTCATTAAGGAGGCGTTTGAATTCAGTAGGAGATAGGCAACTAAGTACAGTAAGTGGAGATTCGTTCCATACTGCACTGTGCTATATTTTAGAGAAACGTGAATGCAGTTTTGTCCGGCGCCATTCCACTTCGTGCGGGTTTGGGTGACGAGTAATTTTTTGAGAATTTCACAACTTGGGAACGGTCTTCCAAGAGAGAATTGAGCCATGATAACAAGGAATCCTGGAACCCGTACGACCTAAGCTTAAGAATAAATCTCTTATATGGGACTTTATCAAAGGCATTTTTGAAGTCGAAGAAGAGAGTTGTGACAGGAGAACCATGATCACACTTAGCAGTAACATCATCGAAGAAGTCAAGTAGGCAGGTGGAGTATGGGTTACTCTTCAAGAGGCCTTGTTTTTCTGGAGTAAATACTTTACGAATGTGGAGGTATGAAGCACTAAACGTAGATAATTCACAACTTGCTAGTGGTAACATCATGAGGACGGTTCAAGCGTAAGATTAAATGGAGCCACCTAGTGGTCTTTCAAAAGTGCTCCTATTCAACTCACCTCAGCTGGAACTTCATCCTGTCTCTTTAAATTGCTTGATCTGTGCATGTGGTAGATTACAAAAGTCGTGCTGGTCCGAAGAAATATAACTCCTCCTAATACTGCCTCTGGAATACCATTTCACGGAGAAGATTCAAGGACACTACCATGAAGGGCAAACATAATTTCACCATGGACCAAACTTATGTAATTTCAGTAGTACTGATGCATGCCTTTACAGTTGGTGTGTGCTACATAGATAGGAATAAATATATTGTTGTTAACATTGCTTGGCTGAATTACCAAGCAAAAGTAGCAGCCTGCATTCCACAGGAACCCCACTATAACTCTTGAGTCAATACTGAAACTCAGCGTAGAAAAGTCGCCTCATTGAATTGATATCTGTCTATCGGCCCTGCAACACGGGATGGCAACATGCTTTTTTGACAGCTCGAGAAGTAAACATTAGTCTTGGTCCTTAACGAAGAAAACAAAAAAATATGCATTGAACAGATCTACGCTATAGAGAATGCTTTTGCTCCCGCCAACCACAATCATATTCAGCTTGCCATAAGGCCTACAGAAATTTTTGACATCTAGCAGGTCAGGTTGTTCTACGGGTTCCAATCTTCCAGATCTTTCAATTCACTTCTTACTAAAATGTCACTTACCTACCTCACGATAATTATATTACTTACGCACTACTATACTCTCTTTTGTCTTAACTACCTAGGAATTTATTAAAGCTTAAACTTACTCTTTGTTGCTCGCCTAAAGTCTAAGTGCTCTGATGAAAAAGAAATACAACAACACCAATATTTGGACATAGCTATCTTTTCATCACAAGCGTCATAGTCTACATGCTAATATCAATATTGTTAGCATGAAACACTGCAAATATATCCTATCGTTCGAAAGAATCTCCACCTCCTTATTGTGCATATCTTGTAAATATACTGTCAAAGATGAAAAATCCATAATTGCATTTTATGTCATTTCACAGTTTCCCAAGACGTTCCCCTCTTCCTTAAATAGCTTTTAATCAAGTGGCGGCATTGTAATTACCCAAATATACGCTGTTCACTAACTGAGCATAATTATCATCAGGAAACCTAACGAAGTTGAGGTTGTCCCCTAACTTTGATAGTGAAGGGCTTACAATTTAACATTTATAAGAACCTGTTTTCATTGCTTGTACAATAGTCGGACAATTTAAACTTTTGTTAAAGTGACAATCTATGCTAATTCACAATTGTAATTCATTACATAACTGATCATGCCTGTAAAATGACACGCATTTCATGTGGGTTTACTCGTTTATAAGAAATGCTTCCCAAATAAGAAGCAGGCACATAAGTATACATAAGGTTTGCACTGGTCTGTAGAAATTACATTGGATATTGGACATTGCATATTCCCGCCTAATTTGTATGTTTATTTACTGTTGCGTTTGGAATGTATTTCTTCACTGAGTGGCCTAGTGTTATAGAATCATTCTACAAAAAGGAGACATTTTCGCTTCGTGTATCTGATGATGGTGAATTTTTCATTGTGTGTACCGAGGCGGATGTGATTCTTTTCCACATGAGAGTAAGCGTCAAATGCGTTCTTATTATATAGCTTCTCTGTAAAATTGCTCACTTTACCCGCTCAGATTCTTGTTTAAGGGAGAACGGACCAACATCCTCATTTATTCTGAGATGGGATTCTTCCAAGATAATGTTGTGTGTCAGTTGTTTTTATTTTATCTAATTCCGTAGACTGAAAAGGGTGTTGTTATAATATATTGCATTGACAACCTACCATTATCATTACCCAGGTAAATTACTAAAGTACAGTATTATCGAATATAGCAGTGTTCCACACCAAGCGATGGATATTTTTACGCTTGATACCAGAATTAAAGTTGCGGAGTGCTGCTGCAAGTAAGAATGAATTTTACTCACGGAAGCTTAGTGCATTTTGTTTGGGAGAAATTGTTGTCATTGCGACTGTTGAGGGAGACTTGGTACGCATTAATTGGGATGGTTCGTATTTTGGCACCACCCTTAGTTTAACGTCGATTGGTTTAGAGCCAAATGATATAAACTGCAGTGGTGAGTTTATAAGTTTGTTTTGTGACATTTCCGTTATTGCTAGGTAGTTTAATACTTAGGATTTTATAAATCGCACTTGTGCTTCAGGGTTCTAACTGCAACTATAACTACCTTTTGTAAGGCGGAGAATAGTTTTAGCAATTATGAATGTGTTATACTGCGTGGTCATGGATTATCCCTGAACAATGGTTAGATTTAAAAATACTGCTGGGACCCGAAAAATAAATTGGTGCGAATTTTTTAGACAACGTGAAAGAGTTTCGGTCGGACAGTGATGGGGCCGAAAGTATCTACAGTAATTGCAAGTCTGTTAAACTCTAGTGCCAATAAAAAAATTTATGGTGCTAGAGGAAGGAGTATAAGAGCTGCAGCTTATATCTCGCAGAGGAACAGCAAGCCGTATTACGTTGGACACCAAGGGCCAGAGGATGAAACTTATGGTTTTCGTACTCCATCATAAGCTTTATGTTTTGGGTAGTCATTAAGGTTTGGTCAGTAGGATGCATCAATTAATTGATAGACGTGTCATCGCCGTAGCTGCTATAGTCTAAATGTGCATCAGAATTGGACCTAAGTGACTTTCTGTAGTGTTAGTGTCAGAAGAGCAAGTCAATTACTCTTAAAGCGCTCACGCAGAACGAGGCATTAGACAATTTGAATAAACGGCAGATCACATGTTGTTTCAGGCTTCTTCAGGAAGAGCATTCCTCGGATGTAATCCACATAACATAGATCTGACCTATGTTCAGGTTGTAGATAAGTTATGAGGGCAGTTCTGTTGGTGCAGTTGACCGATTCTTCTGTTTCCTAGACTCTCAAAGAAATCCTGGTTGCTGTAGTCGGGATGTTCGAGACTGAATACTTCGTAATGGTAACAGGTATTAATTGGTTTTGTAAGATGTTTTCTGTGGAATAGAACATACCTGAAAAGCTTTTTAGACCATAGACGACTACTGTAAAATGTCAGCTGTTTCAACACATCAGTAATCCAAAAATTAGCCACCTTAGTTTGCTTCGTCGCTATTCCTTGCTGCATTTCTGAGAAAACACACTTCATGTCTACATGTTAAAGTATGGCTTCGACTAAGGTTTTTATTATCTTACGTAGGACGCTAGTGCATATGCGTATCGTAGAAGAGTTGCAAATAATAAACGTATGTTCTTTCTATCCTCTGTTCTTCGTTAGTTTTTATGCAATATGTAAGTTTATTTCCTACTGCATCATATATTTTAAATACTAATTTTTTTTAGATGATAGAACCTCGGGACTAAAATACTATTGTAAAACTCTTGAATGGGCCCCAACATTTGGCGGCGCCTTCTCTCTTATTTCTTCCGGTCATGTGGCTTTTATAACGTCTCTCGGTTCATCTGGAGATCAATTGGTTTGTTTGACAGTATTATTGTGAATTTATTTTTTATGGAATGTAGTTTCGCTTGCGAAAAGCAGTTTACTCGAGTGAAACTAAATTTCTAGCTTATCGTATGTATAGCATTTCAGTTTTTCAATTCATGTCCCATCCAAATATTAGCCGACCGGTATTTAGTAGTTGAAGTCGGCTTGTCATTGTCTATCAAAGGTAGCATGATAAAATACAATGAATAGTTTATATTGTGATTTAACCGTCGAGGTTAAGAAGAACCAATATCAGTACTGGAGTGGCAAAGTATTCACCAAACAGCTCTAGATGATTATGTCTTAATTATTCAGATGAATTGAGGTTTTTTTAAAGTTTTATACCACGCAATCTAAACTATTCCTTTCGTGTACAGTGTCCTCAACACTCAGGATTTAGGATTCATTTTCCTGGTCATAACGAGCATACTCATAAGTTGCAATTGGTGATTTTGAAATCTACTCCACAATAAAAACAACCCTACTACAGAAACTCAAAATAATCTCCTGCTGAGTGGTTACTGGTTTCGAGGTAGTTTGACCGATGTAGCGAAAACTGGTAACCAGTCAGAGAAGTTGGGCAGTAACTATACACAATTTCAGTAGTCTGTTTCCAGTTTTCCTTTCATTGATGTTGGTTCGTGATACATTAAATTGGAATCTATACACATTCACTATCGAACTTCAGATGAATTGCTGACGAATTAACTTACGGATTTGGATTTTGACGGCATGCTTTATACTGGTAATATTAAGCCTACTTAACTCCAGTGAAAATGTTTACAACTTTTGGTAATTTATTCGTATTGTAACGAATCCGTTTGCTTAGCAACACTTAGTTCTCAAGCAATTTCCATATGAACGCCCACCATATACTACCAACTAGCATATATTAATCTCTTTGGTGATAACCTACCCAATTTTAAAATGAAATTGCCAGATAGAGTTTAACATAGTTAAGGGTGTTGGTGGTTGCGTTTAGAAAACATGCTACACAATGTACTTTCTGATAGGCAGTAATGGTCTTGCACTACTGTCTGTAGTTTATCCCCCTGTACTATGTAAAAAGAAAATTAGGTGCAATATCACACATGCTGCAAATTCGCCATTGTATCAAAAGTGCTGTTTGCATTGAAGCCCAGTGACCATTTTGAGCTAGTAAGTTGAAGTCCCTGTTTTGCAAGTTGTATCCCATAGTGCCCAAACTTACAGTGAGTAATCTTTCGGTACCGCACGCAGACGCTTGATAATTCTGCACACTCATAATTCGATTACATTTCTAAATCATTAGTCTTTCGCTAAGACAGTTGTGTGCATAGCATTCTGTCTAAAACGCGTATCATTAAACGGCGCAAAATCGTTGTGATATGCATAATCATATCTTACTACGATATTAAGGTCGTACTCATATTGTTGTTGGTATTTTTCATGCTCTTAAATTTCAAGCCAATTGAAGCAAAGTTGGTTGAGAATGCTACTAACTCAACAAGCACAGCAGTGAATAATCGCTTCCGGTCACTGGCAGTTGGGACACAAAGGTAAAGTAATTCCTTTCTTTCTGTGGTAAAATTGTTTTCAACCATATTGTCTTCATCATTGAATAAGACAGTGCTTGTGAGTAACACTAAAATTGTGATCTGACCAATATAGATGTCATCAATCCACTCCATCTTCTCTCAGAGATGATTTATTACAAATATGTTCAAAGCGATTCAATAAAATTTATCCATTCTTCCCTAGATAATGCAGATAAGTGAACGTCGTAATTTCATTCATTTACCGTAATAATTCCGTTTTATGTCAAAAGTCATCTATGTATAACATTATGAGTAAGAAATTATTTCACTGTGGAAGATGATGTTCCCACTAATATTCGTAAACGCTTTCTAAAGAAATAAGTAGCAGTATTTCCGTGTTAGAAAGGAATTCCGTTTTCACGGCAGTATTTTTGCCCATAACTTTCATCCTCCATGTAGTGGAAAGTGAATTATTGTACATAATAAAGAACTTCCTACAAACAGTAGACAGAGGCTAAATCATGCCTATCTGTCACTATGAGAGAATAAATAAATTAATACATTATAACCTGAAATATTCGCTATTTAAGTACATGGTGGCACGAGCGGTGGTGCACCTAACTATAGACTCCTTACATGCAACGTCAATTACACAACTGTAAACCTTTATTCGTTATCTGCACTTTAATAACGATTTTTCTTATTGGGCTCTCAAATATGCAACACTCTTTTCAGTGGCCAGGTAAATGTAGAATATCCAATTCCACTCTTATGTCTGAACAAGAGACAGAGATAGCAGCAATATTTAGTCTGAACAGTGCAGCCTACATCTCCGTTACAACTATCAACATTGTTTTTGGCTTGTATGACGTGTTGCTTTGATTTACCTCAGACACTCAGTTGAAGATCATGTTTGAGACTATGATGTACACTTGATTTCCTGCTATGAATAGCATTCTGCGGTTCAAATCAAAATCCGGGTTCGGAGGTTCCAAGAGTAGGACACTAACACAAACTCCATCATGCTATTGTTATCTGCAGAACAATTGGCGGACAATCTATCTGAATGGAAATCGGATGTGTACTGACTGAAAAAAGATCTAGGCTTCATATTTCACCTACGAGCTTTCTGATATAAAAGTCAAAGGGTGGACACGTATAGTATAGCGGATTAGTTTCTGCATCGGAATTCCATTGATTTCCATATAAATGGTACCAATCAACGTTCCTTTCTTTCGAATGCAACTAAACCTTTCCTGACTGATGTAGTGTCTGAAATATCATTGTGTTTTTATTTTTATATTGATAATAGATGCAGACTGAGACGAAACGGTTGTTATGCTCTATGGCATAAATTAATGATATATCAGTGATGATGATGATTCAAGATGGGATTTATTAATAAATATCCTATAAACCTTCCGTTTTAATACTGATGAATTCTTTGTTATTTCTTTCCTAGTAGTAGTGAAGTCCTCTTGTACAGAATGGATGAAGTCTCTGGTACTGTTCAGGTGCAACACACTCTTCGAATGCATAACCGCGAATCATCTTGTTAGTGTTTTCTCATATTCTTTGTTTATCTTTACGTGTCATCATGTACTTATATGCTTTATTTTATAAACATGAAACCAAGTATGTTTTACGCGATAAGCTGTCAAATATTTATGAGAATGTTCACACTGAATTAACATGTAATTTCAGTAATCAGCACTTCAGTATTCAAGATGCACAATAACAATAGTTTAAACAGTTCGGAACCCAGTAGCGTTGTTAGCGGAAGACGTGAAAAGATTAGCTGTCTTTGATCATAGGTGTCTGCGTTCTATCTCCCGTGTGAAGTGGTATATTAAGGTGAGCAATATTGAGGTTGGGCGTCCAGTGCTAGATAAGCAGGGGAAGTCAATCGACGAGGCTGTGAAATTACATCGACTGAGATGGCTAGGATATGTGTTACATATGCCTAGCCATCGCCTTCCTCGACTGACGGGCAATGTTAGCTGACAAATGGTCATGCTGGAAAAGAGCTAGCGGCGGTTAAACCAAAACATGGCACCAGTCAATGAAATCCACAACAGTTAGTTTCAGCCAGCCAAGTAGGAAGGTGTAGATTGGCTTCCTGGTTGGGGTCCTCGGGACGGTGAAAACTAATAGTTGGAAACAATTGGTGACATGGCTCAAAATCGTTCTCGATGGCGCAGATGCATCCACTCCTTGTGACCTATGATTTCCAATGAAGCTATATTGTTCTGCGTCATTATTATTCCTTCGTCTCACACCTCTTTTTCCTGTCTCTAATATGCACTTCTCCTATTTTCTTCTCTTGCTTTGTGTGCTACATGGAATGTGGCGACTGGAACTGCCGCATATATGTGCAAAGTTCTATGTCGAAAACAAACAGCGTTGTTAGCCTATATACTTCATGAAACACACACAAATTCATAGTGACGATAATAGTACAAAGCTAGTCATTGATAAATACACAGTATTAGAAAGGTGCACTGAGTTATCACGTGTATCTTTAAATTGATTAAGTAATAATGAAACAAAGACGTAACTTTGCCTGTTTCTTTAGCCTGTCCCAAGACCGGACAACGAGGGAAGGGACTAGCAACATTACCCCAGAAAATCAACCCAATCGGTACGGAAACATCACAGTACTGAAATAAAAACATGAAGATAAGCATGTTCCTTGCACGAATTTGAGAGGCGGAATGACGCAGGAAACCAGTCAATATGAGGCATGGTATGTCCCTACCATGTTTAGGGTTACAAGCTTGCTCAGATTGCAAAATAAATGAGGAAATAAAGTTATAGAGATTATGGAAATGCATAGGAGCAAATGGATTGGAAGTGGGCTCTACAAATTGTTAACTACAGAGTCAACAATCTTCTCCGGTCATCCAGACAACAAACACTAACACACTGATAGTTCGGTTATCATGATGCCACTAAGAGCATTCAGGGCTCGCATGTACTGGCGACCTACCTCCTCCAGAATAATGATAGCGAGATTCAACTCAAAAGGTGGGAGGGTTAAATTTACACAGTGCTACACTCCAACAAACAATGCAGACCCAGTGGAAGAGACGGAGGACTTCTACAGACAGCTCAAAACAGTAATCGACATAACCCCGACTAGATGGAGACATCGAAGTTTCAATCGGTGATATGAATGCAAAGCAAACCGACAGCAAACAAATACAGACAGAACTCATTGTGCGTTGTGAGGCGATCGGTGAAATGAACGAGGGCGGTGAACTCTTTGCAGACTTCTGTCGGTTTATTGATATGGGGATTGATGCAGCATGTGCAATCACAAGGAGTCAAATATCTCACCAAATGGATGCATCCGAAATCAGATAGACTTCAAAGGGATGTCGAGAGAGTGGATGTGCAGCCTCGTAAAACACTGTGTCAAGAAGAGTAGCTCAGATCATTATCTACTGCAAGGGACTTTCAAGATCACTTTGAAAGCCTTCAAAGAAGCTGGTGATGAACCATAATAGAAGCTCAACAATCGCAAACCAACGGACTAAGTTACCAAGGATGAGTTCACTGCAGTCATCAGAAAGAAGTCAGAGACACTAAGTGGCATCACCGAGGGAACCTGCGTTGAAGAACACTGCGACTCTCTGAAAGTGATGTTGAAGGAAGCCTGTATTGTATAGCCATCTGAGTGAGGAAGGAAGACACACTTGTGCAACCTGATAGTCGAGAGGCGAGGATGGTGGAACAGAAGATGAACCAGTGCAAAGGTGGACAGGGAAAGGAACAAGCTGAGTTTATTCTACACCTCACTGAACAGAGTAGTGAAGAGTGAAGATGAGTGTGAGACGAAAGGCGAAAAACGACTTTATGACACACTGGCCACTAGGAAGAGATATCTCAGAATACTATGTCAGATAACCAGGTCGCTGTCCATGAAGAGTCAACACCGATGAGACGAATGAAAGAGAACCTAGGAAGGAAGGAGGAGAAACACAGGAAACTCTGGGCTTATTTCTTCATTAACAGGAGAAATCTAAAGAAAGTCATCTCTCCCACTTATCCAGGCACTATGGTGTCAACCACAAGCAGCACAGATGAAGATATCCTCATCAGGAGGAGATCAGAGCTTATGTGTGCATTAGTGTAGTCGACTAAGAAGGACCGAAGAGGAGAGAGTGAAATGGATGTGTGCTACTGAATCTATATGTCCTACTTGGAATTCGAAGAAATAATAATAATAATAAGATAAAGACGCATCACCCATTCAATTATGTATGCATTTAGCGTCTCTCTGCATTAACAAAGTTTCACAGAAACTGTCTATTATGATTACTTCAGGCTCGCGTGAACAATTAGGAGCTGTGTCTGAAGTTGTATGGTCCCCAGACGGTTATACTTTGGCAGTTGCTTGGCTACACTGTGGCTGGGCATTGTGGTCAGTGTTTGGTGCCCTTATATACTCGAGTTTCGGTGAGCGCATTAACCCGTTGTATCAAGTACATGTTTCAAATCTGGTAAGCATAATATTATTGTGTGTAGTAGACTCTTGATACTCTTAGTTCTTGTCGAATGCATTAGAAATATTCAGTTTTACACGAATTGAATCATACCGCAATACTTTATTTATTGTACAGGTTGTATACACCTCATCATTCACCTGTCGTTGGTTAAGTGTAAAATAAGTTAAAACTGGCAAGTATTTTGGGAAATAGTCTGTACAACAGAATGCCTTTTGTTCTTTTCGGAGTAGATACGTAACCTTATAGCTAAAAATTTAGTAGGGAAAGACTACATAGATTTCTAGTCTTTGCTGGTTGCAGGACTTAATATGGTTAATGGATTAGACATGAAGATTTAAGTTGCATTTAATCTGGATTTACTTTCATTCTAGAGAAAAATGTAATGATCATACTTTTAAGTGGTACGTATTTTTGTCTGTTCATGTAGTTTTGAGTATTTGATTGAACTAGCCTGTGACTGGAGTAAAACAGATACTTCAGTGAAAAATAATAACATCCTCATAGATGATGACATGCATCTTTTTGGTCACTCATTAACTCGAGTAGATTAACGCTGGTTTGTACAATCCAATGCACATTCTTAGCTTCTCTCATCATATGTAGTATCATAAGAGCATTATTTTCTTAAATCACATCGGTCGAAGTATGTTCGCGACAGTGGGAGGTGAAAATCCACCCTAGACAGTACATCTAATATTTGTGCTACTCTGTATACTTTCGAATTTATTCAAACATTAAAAGTTTGTGAACTGTGATTTCTCTCTAGAAATCAAACGCAGAACTTAAAATTTCTTCACACAATCCTTAACTGTATAAATAAATATTAGCTCAAACTAAACAACTTTATAAATAAAAGTACCAGTCGTTTGATTCTTTTGCTTTGCAAGTGGAGCATAGGGCATCAAGCTTTTGAATTCTCAGCAGCCGTGGTATTGTTTTTTATAGAGTGGTGTTTCTAGTTGCACGCCTAACATTCTCTCTTTTTCAAACTTACTGTCTTCTAGTGAAGAAGAAAAGGATTTGGAATGCGTTAGGCACTAAACCCCAGACCACATGTGTGGTTGGCAGGCATATTCTACCACTGAACCGCTAAGTCAAAAGTTAATACCAACCCACCCACCGAAGCGGAGGTCCGTAAGGAACTCCAAGTGTTAAAACGCCATAAGGCGCCCGGCCCAGACAATTTACCCCCGGCTCTTTTTAAAGATGGTGGCGAGACTCTTACAATGGCTCTAACTGGGTTGTTCAGGAAGGTATGGGAAACTGAGAGTGTACCATCAATGTGGAACGAAGCCATCATCGTCCCTATCTTTAGAAAGGGTCGACGTAATTCGTGTGACAATCATAGGGGTATCAGTCTGCTACCAGTCGCGTCTAAATTATTGGCTTCTGTCTTGCTTTGCAGGCTGTGCAAAATACGTGAAGGATTGATTCGCGAAGAGCAGGCTGGATTTCGTTCAGGTCGTGGATGCATTGATCATGTGTTCACCCTTCGTCAGTTGTTGGAACACCGCCACACGTATTGCAGGTCAACGATCGTTGTGTTTCTTGATATTAGGGCTGCCTTCGATTCGTTGGACAGAACTGTGCTCTGGAACTGTCTGTTAGAGAGAGGTGTACCTGAGAAATTTGTTAACATCTTGAAAGCTCTATACAGAAACACGTCAGGTAGAGTGAGGGCATACAACCAACTATCACCACTGTTCCCAACCAACAGTGGGGTTAGACAGGGTTGCCCAATCTCTCCATTTCTCTTTAATTTTGCCATCGATGACATTCTGGAGTCAGCTCTGAAGGATGTGCGTGAAGGTGGTGTAGATCTGCTACCTGGAGATAGACTTTTCGACCTCGAGTATGCAGACGATATCGTCTTACTGTGCGATAGCATGCAGGCTGCCCAAATCGCACTTAATCAGTTGGCGATCAGTGTCTGTAAGTATGGTATGTGCTTTGCTCCGTCTAAGTGCAAAGTACTGTTACAAGATTGGCAGGAGCCTGTACCTGCACTCACTCTTGCGGGTGAACCGCTTGAAGTTCTCGATAAGTGTGTGTACCTAGGTAGTTGTGTGAGTGCTGGCGGAGGGGTGACGGATGAGATTTCCAACCGTATAATGAAGGCTAGGGTGGCATACATCAACTTGTGCCACCTCTGGCGCCGTCGCGACGTTAGCCTGGCTGTCAAAGGTCGGGTATCCAATGCTTCGGTGCGGGCTGTCTTGCTCTACGCCTGTGAAACCTGGCCTGTCCGAGCTGAGGATGTGCGGCGACTCTGCGTGTTCGATCATCGCTTTCTCCGCAGGATTGCTTGCTTTCGATGGCATCATCGCGTGAGTAATTCTGAGGTTCGGCAGCGTGTGTTTGAACACAGTGGAGATCACCATTCGTTGAGTGTCGTCATCTGGAAACACCAGCTCCGGTGGCTTGGACATGTGCTGCGAATGTCATCCCAGAGGCTTCTGTACAGGTCTCTGTTCGCTAGCCCTGGGACGGGATGGAAAAGGCGGAGGGGTGGTCAGTCCATGATGTGGCGTCGTGGGATGAAGGATATTTGTGCTAGATTAGCATCGGTTGGTGTGTCACGACTCCCTGGTTGGGGTCCACGAGATAGCTCAAATCGATGGCTCGAAACATTATCGGATATGGCCAAGAATCGTAATCAATGGCGAACGTGCTGCAATTTCCTTCTTTCTTCCCTTCCTGATGATAGTTAACGAATACTGTTTGAACTTGTTAAACATCACTGTTTTCCTTCCTGATGAAGTTCTTTATCCGTTTTCTACCTATATTTTTACTTTTAATCTATGTTGTTTTATTATTATTGTGTGGCTCATCTTTCTTGGTGCCATATTGTACCAAGTTTTTCTGCGTTTAAATAATAATAGTAATAAGTCAAAAGCCTCTTATGTCCGTAACTAAGATTTAGGCATCTGAACTATTACACTAGAAATTCCATGACGAAAGTAAGTGAATATACCCTAATCTAGGGTTTCTTTCTTACTGTTCCTCTTCACCCTTGTAAATGATCCTGTCTTAACACGAAGGATTCCTTAAGTGTCGCTAGCTGATAGTCAGTAAAACACTCACGTTGTCAATTTTAGATTTGAATGATGGTCATAAATTGTGATGAAAATTTTCTGTTTGTCTATTGTGACTGCGCAATGGATTCACCCATTTGATAATTTTTACAAAGGTGTCTGTACACGTGGGTTGTAAAACTCATCTTTTGACATTATCTCGACTGTGACTATCATTTACACAAAAGCTAATTGACATAAGGAAGGAGTGGAAGTATTAGAAGGTCAACTATGTGTGTTTCAGCCCTTTAATAAGACAATGGAATCCACATAGAGAGAAGTTACAGTGGAAAAAAGTAATGTCAAATTTTAAAATCAATCTTTGAGAAGAATTAATTTGATAAACAAATAATTTTTACATTATTATGCGATAGGCTGCACAAATTGCATTGTTATTCAAAATTTATTGTGATTTAATTTTAGTCATGGGGTCACCATGGTTATAATATTCTGGGCTCAATCATTTTTACCAGGAAGCTTATTTCTGGAAATGCCGACGTCATGTTTACAGAATTTCATACCAAAGGAAAACCCAATTTAAACTCATCAAAAGAGGAGGAGGATAGTATTCAGTCGCCAGATTCTTTTGGTTGTCAGAATAGTCACTCAAAAAGGAAGTCGTATCTCGTCGTCTTTCACTTGACTAAGTCTGCAGTAACTGCCAATCCAACTTCTGTAAGTATAAAAGAACATTTTTCATCTGTTTCTGTTCAGTTAGTTATTTTCGGTGAATATTCTCATTGAAACAGGTCTAGAGGTGTAGGTTAATAGTTGCCTTATTCATCTAAATAATATTAGAAATATTTGTAAATGGTTATGTTTTATCACTACTTGAGATCAACTAACTGAAGGGTTACCTTAGCATGAGTGCCAACACTCCAGTTTCTATCATCAAAATAAGATGAAATTCCATGAACCGAAGAGAACCATTAGGTTAAAATTTTGTGGAAATGGTTAACACTAGCTTATTGTTTTTACTCAAAATTTCCTTAAACCGTATCTCCAAAAATCGAAAATTATGTACTAGTAGGTAGCATACCACTAAAGTTTTGTAGGTGAGTGGCGAATTCCAATCTTTCAAAACTATACCATTAGGGTTCTTAATTGTTACTGTCCTTTGGAATTATCTTGAAAAAGTTGTTTAAAGGTGTCAGTTTTTGTGTGGCACTTATTTTGTTGTGTACCAAATATTGTTTATAGTTTATCGTTATGACTTTTGTCGGCAATCGTTTAGAAATTTGGTGGCGTATGTAATTTGTGTTCGAAACGTCATCAGTTGATATTTGTTTACAACACTGTGTGATTTATCAAAATAAAATCTTATCCATATTGCTTACACTGTGTTTTAAGGGTAGCAGTAAATACTAAGAAATTGCTAATTGTTTTTAGATGGTGTGGAGGCACGCACAGTCTATTGGTTCTGGAGAAATTTGTGTTTGTGTTATCTTCAAAAGGCGTTGAGTTTCTGTGTAAAATGTGGGCTTGTTTCATTCTTGTGAAGCATTTTCATGGGATCTGTCAACTTTTGATATGTAGTCGTTAAGACTTCTTCATTATGGATACTCTCAATGGTTATTGGTGTCTCATGTTTCAATACAGCGGTGTTTATGTACTTTTTGACATCATGGAGATTTTGGTGTCTTAAAGTACCATGTACTTACAGAGTTTACTATTTAAAACTGCCTCAAAACTTCTACTTACTATACTCATTTGCTTTTTACAACCAGTCACCAAGCCAATGAGTAATTGAGTTAGTCTGAAACAGTAGTGCATGGTTAATGCCTTAAGCTACTTGGTTTCTTAGTGGAACATAGGATTTCAGTGGAGAGGACTTTCATCGTACTCGGTTCCCTGCCATTATTCTGCCAGACTTCATGACTGCACGCAAACTTTGGTCCCTTCTTGAAATGGTCTTTTCCACCTTTTCGCGTTCCCCTTGTGTGTTGCCGTACATGTGAAGGTCTCCTCAGCGTATGTCCAATACATTTACATTTCCTTCCAAATCTTTGTTGCCACGCCTATAACTGCCACCTTGATGTTGTTTGCATAGCGGTTAGACTAAAAGCAGTCATTACGATGTACATCGGCTCCACAATCCAGACAAATCGAATGGCGAATGAACCCGTATTGGTCACCGGAAACCATGGGAATGTAGCTCCTGACGCTGCCTTTTGAATGAGATTTCAAGTCAAGGACTCGGGTGGGGAGTGCTCCCTTAAGACAACCACCTGCACCGGTCTGGGTGCCTGAGCAGTATCCCCGTCCCCTCAGTAACAATAAAAACAATAAATCATGAGGAAATTTAATCACATGCTCTTTATTATGCTCACGAACAACCATAATGGTATTTCTAGCAACGTATTTTTAACTTCATTTCTATACACAGACTTGATATGATTATGAACAATAAGTTGTGTTCGAAACCTCATCCAGTAAATCACACCGTCTCACTGTGTGACATATCTAATAAACAAATTAACGTAAACTTTTGTTATTTTTGCTATCCCTGGTGTTTCCACTTCCATCGGCCTCTCGCCTTTGCTTAATTTCTCAGACTATCTGTGCCTTTCAGAGATGTCCGTGAGTAGCCTTCAAAATGCTGGCCCACAGTGTGATATCTAACACAGATATTCTGAAACCACATGCCACGTCCGAGCCAGCCAGCCACCTACAATATTCGGACACTGATGCAAATCGAAGAAAACAGGCAAGTCTGACAAAATAAACTAGGAAACTTCCCTATCGTTATCTGCTGTATTTCGGGGACTCGTATTCAATATCCTAGTAAAGCACTTTGAATATCTTCTCCATCTAGAAGTTCGAGTAGTATGTGCTACCTGCGCTTACCTGAGGGCCATGTGGCGTCGTCATCCGACGAAAGAGCTCAAGCTGCACTACTCTACTGGATTCCCATTAACAGTCGTTTATGTACTGTAAGTCTGGAAGGTCATACGAGAGTAAGAAGTGATAAGCCAGGTAGGCAGTGCCTATTTGTAGTCTATGCCTATGCACCGATGGATTGCTGCCCGGATGCAGATCAAGGACGGACGATCTCCTTAAACAATCGCGTCAGAGGGATATCGTAGTGCTAGCTGGGGAGTTGAATGAACAAGTCGAGTGTGAGATTAAACAGTGTTTGCGTAAGGTAGCTGGATTCTGTTCCCGCTCATTCAAGCCACCAACAGCAAGAAGCATGGTGTCAGCGAGATGGTCCGTGAGCCAAATGGAACACTAATTACCAGTCTGAAAATACGCCTGCAGCGGTGGGTGGAGCAATTCCAGAAGCATTTGTATACCTGATCGTCGGCGCCAGCAATCAACATCATCAGCTACAGTGCTCCTTCGTCGGTCAATACCGACCCACCAATCAAAGCACATGTCCGAAAGGAACTCCAAGTGTTGAGGTGCCATAAGATACCCGACCCAGACAATCTACCTCTGGCTCATTTTGAAGGTGGTGGCGAGATTCTTGTCATGACTTTGACTGCATTGTTTAGGAAAGGTGAGGATGTTCTATCAATGTGGAATGAAGCCATCATCGTCCCTATCTTTAAAAAGGGCTGACGTAACATGTGATTCGCGAAGAGCAGGCTGGGTTTCGTTCAGACCGTTCATGTATTGACTATGTGTTCATCCTTCGTCAGTTGTTGGAAGACCTTCACACTTATTGTAGGCCAACAATCCTTATGTTCCTTGGTATTAAGGCTGCGTTTGATTCGTTGCACAGAACGGTTCATCAGAACAGTGTCAGGAAAGGGTGTACCTGAGAATTATTTAACGTCCTGTAAGCCCTATTTAGAAATACCTGAGGTAGAGCGACGGCATACAACCATCTATCCTCTCTGTTCCCCACTCAACAGTGAGGTTAGACAGAGTTGTCTAGTCTCTTCATTTCGCTTTAACTTTACAATCGATGACATTCTGGAGTCAGCACTGACGGACGTGCATGGTGGTAACGCTTCCTGGAGAAAGACTTTCCGACCTCGAATATGCAGACGATATCGTCTTACTGTGCAATAGCACGCAGATTGCCTAAATCGCACTTAATCTGTTGGCGCTCTGTGTCTGAAGTACGTTGTATCCTTTGTGTCGTCTAAGTTTAAGATTGACAGATGCTTGTACGTGTATTCACCCGTGCAGGTGAACTGCTTGAAGTTGTCGATAAGTCCGTGTTTCTGAGTAGTTGTGTGAATGTTGGCGAAGGTGAGACGGATGAGATTTCTAACCGTTTCGTGAAAGCTAGGGTGGTATACGCCAATTTGAACCACCTCTGACACCGCCGCGGTGTCATCCTGGCTGTCAAAGGTTGGGTCTACACTGCTTCGTTGAGCGCAGCATTGCTCTACGCCTGTGAAACCTGGTCTTTTCAAGCTGGCAATGTGCGGTGCCACAACCATAAGTGTATTAGTTTGCTATCAGCCGCTTTGAAAGGTGGGAGAAACACGTGAGCATTTGATTCGCGAAAAGCAGGCTAGGTTTCATTCAGGTCGTGTGTTCATTGTTCGCCAGTTGTTGGAACACCATCTCAGTTATCGTATCCTTGTGTACATTCACATATATGATGCATATCACACAAATGATTGTAGAAGTATCTGTCTCTCCATTCAACTTGACAGGGAATAATATTTTTATGGAATATCCTTTAGCCTTCACAAATAGCCTAATCGTACCAGAAAAAATGACAGTAAAAATGCACTTCTCGAGATTCTTTGAGCGACGACTTGTGGACTTTTTCAGTGCTTTCCACCGAGAATATATTGATGATTGCTTCAAAACTTGTCTATATCAACATGTCTCACAATAGGATGTAAAATAATTGATTGAGATGACAGCTTCATTCACCTCGGAAGTTATCTTGGTCCCGATAGCACACAGAGAGACAAAATTGTGCTTATCTCATTGAAGTTAGGTAAATCCCATTAAGTCTGAAAACCTGCAACGCGAGCTAACGACTGATTACAGATTCTAAAGTACTGAAACATCACTTGTTGCCAATCTAAGATAAAATGGTATTACTTCTCAAAATCTACGGGAGCCTAACCGTTTCAACTTTCCAGGAAGAATCGTCTCAACTACAGGCGACACGAATGAGCATTTCAATGGTAGGGTCGAAAACCGCACTAAGCAACAAGAAGATTTGGATTTTCAACACTAATGTCAAGTCAGTGCAACTGCATACTTCACACAGTTGACGCGTCACCAAAAGCATTCCCAATAAGCTGATGCATACTTTCATCAACAGCTGCCTTCACTGCTTCCATACTCAAGATCAGATGCCCACAAGTGCTTAGAAACGACGAACTCTCCCAACCAAGAAACTACCACCCAATAAATATGCCAAATTAAACAGAGATAGATCAAACACACGCTGAGGAGACCGTTGGATGACATCGCGCAGCAGGACTTAAAGTGCAACTCGAATGGAAAACGACGAGTCCGGTTTTCAAGGGTGACATGAAAGAGATCATGTGCGAATGAGAAAAGAGCTTATGTGCAATCGATCAGGCAACGGAGGACGATTTCAGCGAACAAGTGACATCGCGATGTGAGACGAAATATGTTTGTTTTAGGTTAACATCGGTTGGTATGTCACGAGTCCCTGGTTGGAGTCCGAGAGATAGCTCGAATTGGTGACTCGAAACGTAATCAGATATGGCCAAAAATCGCAATCGACGGCGAACATGCTGCAGTTACCTCCTTTCTCTCCTTCCTGATAGAGAAGGCATCTGTTGATGAAAGTTTGCTACAGCCTATTTGAAATGCTTTCGGTGACTCCAAGTCTATCAATCATATGATAGCACTGAAGTGGAAGTATATTAAGTATTTATTGCATATGATTACATAAGTTCAGTTAACGGGTTGTGTAGCCAAAAGTTTTTTTATAACCAATCCAGTTATTTTCTTAGTTTTATGAAGTCTGTATGGGATAAAATAGATTTATCTTATGGTTCCATTTCGACATATTAGGGTATTTAAATTTTGTTATGCTTAGTTTGAAGTGGATATATGAAGAAAGGTTTGTATTACAGTAAATTTTAATTGAAGCTTTTTTTCCACAGGATAATCGTTTGCATCTCGTCCTACAGTACAACGACCGAATTGCTGTCATAGGCGAAAACCAGATGGTGTCCGGTGTCCAAATACAGAACCTGGTTGTGCCGAAAGAATATATGAACTCCAATTGGCCCATTCGAGTAATTTAAATTGATTAATCTGTTATTTATTTTCTACTCGAAACTCGCATACATTTCATATTAGTTAGCAGAAGTGAGTGTAATAAATTAGGTAGAAGGAATTAACTCGAGGAGAACTTTTCACTTTTGAAAATTTGTCGTTGGCTGACCGAATTGTTTCACCTGTAAATGGGCGTAGTCGTTTTAACACCTGACATTATACTGTAACATTCTTTCCTTATGCTTTTAGGTTTCAATAAGAAACGTGAAATGAAGACGAAATCAATGAAACATGAACCTAGAGTTTCAGCATAGAACTTTGCACAGAAGTGTAACTACGTTCACAACACACAAATGTAGAGAAAAACGATAAGAAAGCGATTCAAAAGAACTATAATGATCGGAAATTTATGGAAAAACATTAGGAATTTAATGGATCTGGCAGATTACAAAGAGTGAATGCATTTGAAAGCCATTGAGAACGGTTTCGTGCTATCTCACAATAGGTTCTTAGGATCCCTATAACCCACCAACAGATCATAACAAGAAGTTGCTGTAGGTTGATTTACTATAATTTCACTTGAAATACAGTGAAAAAAGTGGTTCTGTTATATATACTTAGACAGTAGTTATTCATCTGATAGTGGTTTAAGTGGAATATGTGATGTATGTACCGTTGTGTTTATTTATAGGCAAAAATCCACCAGATATAGTACAGATGGTGAGGGGAAATTTTGAAGCTCTCCAAAATAAACGAGTCTTGAGCCAAACAGGGCTATGATAGCTGAATCATCTGATGGATTACAATGTTGTGTGTAGAACGTTAGATTTTAATTTTAGGTCAAACTGGAAACCAACAATCACTTGCCTGCTAGCACATCGATTTGAGTTGAGTGAAATTAAGATGAAAATTACATTCTAGGTCTAACCAGTATTATTTTCTGCATTTTAGTTTAATCAGTTGTGCATAATTGGAAAAGCCTGACATTATTTTTCTTCTTATTTCCATCAGTATGTCGCTGTTTCACGAGATGGTAAGGATATCGCTGTCTCTGGTCGTAATGGATTCGTTCATTATAAAGGCGTTTCGCAGCGCTGGTATGTTTTCGGTAATGTCAAGCAGGTAAGATAAGTAATGGAGACTAGTTCTTATTTTTTTTCAAATAGTACGATGACGTTTTAAAACAAGCGAAACGTGTTAATAAAGCGGGATTTAATAAATTCATCGAAATTCCTTAGGACTCGCCATCTGAATACCTTACATTATCTATCATAGCAACATCAAGGTGATCAATTTTCTTCTGTTGCCTTCAGCTTTACCAATAGGTTAATTATCTGAGTGATCATTTTCGACGCAGAACTTTGCATAGTAGTACAGCAGTTCGACTTGTCACACTTAAGAATACACAAATAAATGCAGAGAAAGAATGGAGGTGTATGGAAGAAAGAAGAGTCACATGGCGATCAATGAGAGCTGTATGGATTTAGGATTGAGCTTTTTACAGCAAACTAGACAATTTTAGGTAGAACTCCATGTAACTTCATCGGAACTGCAATATGTTGGGGGAGCGGGGTATAAGCAAAGATTATAAAAAGATATCGACGAGTGTCACAGTCTCTCGTTTCTACTAAGAATCAGTTCAACCGGATAACGCACATACGACCATGCGCTAGGACCCAGTCAAGTGGAGATTTTTCCACCCTAACATTCAATACAATCCGATAAATACACCAGTAAGTTCATCTAAACTAAATGAAGAATCCACTGATACTCGTATGGTCAGTTTCGTAGGTTTACTGTGTTAACAACTACATTAGGGTTTTGTGTACTTGTATTTGGAATACAATATACACCCATTGCTCAAAATGCCAGAGTTCCGGATGATGACGAATGTTATCCAATTCAGTTTAAGTTACAGATGTTGATGCACAAATATTAAGTTGGAAGTGTGGTTTTAACAGACTGTTAGCAGTGTTATTGTGTTTTAATTCTCTATTACTGATCGCAGAGATAAGAGGAGCTGATGAATCAAGCTGTGGAATAGTATTAATGGTGACAGCAAAGCACGAAGATGAAGGTAGATAATGATTAGGAAAGCTTTTTTTTCGAAGTGAGTGGGCAGTTACTACTTCCCGGTTACCCACACCGGGGAAGGTGATTTCATTTTGGGATACCTGAAACAGAAAGAGCATGAGTGTTGCGTCACTAAAGAGCCCAGCAGACAACTGTTTGAGAGTGTTGGCACTGTTTTTCTGATTCATGTGGCTGTTAGTGGTCACCGTTGGCTACAGTCCACCGTGTAACTCGGGATGTACAACTGTTTAATCCTATTCATCAGAGCGATAAGGCAGCATAACTGGCTTGTTGGTCGTCTAAAGGAAAGATCTTACTGCTGTTACATCTTCATTCTCCAGCAGTAAGGCTTTTCACTATGATGGTAATTGCTTATAATTTAACTGCTATCTAAACGACCTTACTGATATGGTAGGATCTGCATACTCGTTTGTCTCGAGCAGTGTAACTCGTTGTGTCATTGTGATGTGCAAGCAAAATCACCACGTCAACGTGGCAGATATCTGTCGACACTAGTAGTTTAGTATTTTTTACTTCATAGATGTATACAGAAACAATACTCTTATGAAATTGACCTTTAATATAATTCTCTATTTCAGGAAAACTCATTCCATGTTTTTGGGGGTATTGCATGGTGGAAACAATATATATGTTGCAGCTGTTTGATGGAAAATTATGATTCAAGTGAGGTATGTTTGTCTTCATACTACTTTTGTTAATCAACTTAAGGATGTATCATTTCGAGGCATATGACTAATTTGTTGACTATTGTTCACAAACAATAAAATATAGGGAAACTCAATGCCTGCATTTTTCCCAATTTAGATATTTTTTCTTGATGGTCTGCCTTCTTAACAATGCTTAGCTTAGTAAAGTGTAGATGTATCTACAAGGATCATGGTATTAGAATGCATATTTGTCCAGGCATTTATGCCAAAGCACAACAGAGAATAATGTGATTCACTTGAGCAGTATGCATGTCCAATATCTCATAATAAGAGAGAGAGAGAGGGAAGACATTATCTCATACATTCCTTCTCCTCTTCCTCATCTCTTCCCAATTGGTTTCTCCAAGCACATAGTTTGCTTCTTTGCATGAACTAAGTAAAATATGCAGTTGTACATTAAAGTGACTAGGATTGAGAAGTCATCAGATTAGTCTCAGCACTGTAGAGTAGCTCGTCATTATTCATTTCCCAATTGGATAGTTAGTTCCTAATTAACTGATCTTCGTCATCTACAGGATCCCATTCGGACAGCCAACAGTTATCTACTATGGTTATGACTTCAAGGAATTATGCAAATTCTTCCACCCACCCCCACCGTATATCTCTTACTTACTTCCAATCTAAGCCTACATGAGATACCATAGTTTGCGAAGAAACATAATATCTTAACATAGATAACGCGTTTCTTTCTACTGAGCCGAGGAAACTATATTTTTTTGTACGACTCCAGTATTATATAAATATATTGTAGAATAAGCTCGAGCTCAACCAGCAAGACATCCATCCGTGTCCTGTTTGGATTTCCTGGAAACACTTTTCTATGCGATAATGTAGTACTTCGATGATATTTTCGAAAATCATCAGCTTTTTTGTTTTGGCACTTTGTATTTGCAGGTTCGCGTGTACTCCTCACTTCGAAAACTAGATGAGCAGTTTTGTTCTGTTTACAAATTTTCATACCTGGTTTTACCTGTTGTTGTGGACAGCTTTCAAAATTGGTTCCTTATACTCACTAATGATGGTTGTTTATGGCTATTTGAATTAATGGAGTCCGGTAAGAAAATTTTTTTGTATTACTTTACTTCAAAAATTAGCTCCCACTGATGATAAACATATGTATATATGTATGTATACGTGCATGTATATATGATCTATAACTGCATGAAGTGGTGTTTTGTTAGAGTGAAATGTAGATCGCATTGGCATGATGACGTGCCCAGCGAATATTTACGCGTTTTGTAAAGTTATTTTGAAAATAAGCTATATTTTGTACGCATTTGAAAATGACAATATGGGTCATTTTTCCGTTGTCAACTTGGCCAATCGGTGGAGATAACAAAACCAGGTGTCGAATGTTGGATTTGTTGGATTTTACACACTTTTCAAATCCAACAAATCTACACCTGGTTTTGTTATCTTCACCAATTGGCCAATTTGACAACGCAAAAAAAAATGCGCAGGAACGATGATTAAGTTGTTATACATAAGCTGAGATTTTGTAAATCCTGGCTTAATAATACTTTGATAAAGCTATCAGCATTAATTAGTGAACCGTCAGCAAAAACAATATCATTTTGTTTTTCATTCATTGGGAAATACAAATAACCTTTATTATACTTTTAGTTATATATAAACACCTGAAAGATAGTCCTTAAATGAGTGGACGACATATAATTTTTTCAGACAGATTTGAGTCAGATGTTTCTCAGAGTGTCTGGAGGTTTTTGGTCTGCTTTCAATTCGTTAAGGTTATTTAAACACTCTGCAAACCATTTTGTGTGGAGCGAATTGTTTTCCAGCTGGTTTTCATCAACAACCGATAGCTGCTACCTTGATGTGGTGGCCGGGCTTGCACATCGCGATGACCCAATAAGCTACACTGGCTGGAACCAATGGTCCTGCAGGTCCTACCATGCCAGCAAGGTTGTTAGGATAGCGATTAGACTAAGTGCAGTTACCGGCATAGTGTAAGAATCTTCCTTGCACTATGTTGGGGGACCGTGGGCGAAGTTGTACTGCTGGGGAACAGGGGTATAACAGCAGTGAGGTGTTTCCTTCAGACGACCAGCATGCCAGCTCTGCTGTCTCTCCACTCTAGAAAGAGGGGGTTAGAATTGTACATCCTGACTTACACTACGGTGGTCCGTAACCGGCGGTAAGTTTACTAATACGGAACCAAACCAAGAAACCAGTTCATACAGGTCATGTGTGACCGGCCTCAAGCAGTTGCCCCCTGGGCTCTGCGGTCACGCAACAATAAGCCCTCTTTCTGTTTCGGGTACTCGAAGAATCCACGGTGTGGGCAGCCGGGAAGTAACAACCACCCACATACTTCCAAAAGCACACGAAGCCTTCCTGAGCATCATTCTCATCTATCCACATCACCTTCATCATCTTATTCCCCTAGTACAGTTAGTACTCTACGGCGTACCCCAAATATTCATCAACCTTATTCAACAGCTGTACGACAACGGCGCATATCAAGTGATCCACAACCGAAAACTCAGTGAGGCGTTTGGAGTAAACACAGGAGTCAGACAAGGGTGCTTATTATCACCAATGATATTCCTGATTGTGTTGGACTGGATGATGCGTCAGACAGTGGGAAACGAGAAGACAGGGATATCCTGGATCGACGTGAAGAGTCTAGAAGACCTAGATTTCGCGGAAGATTTATGTTTGATGTCACACAAAATCGAAGACTTACAAGCGAAAACCGACAAACTGGTCGAAGAAGCAGCAAAGACAGGACTCCAGGTGAACATAGACAAGACGGAGATTATGACAATAACCAACCAACAACAGCAACAACATCCACCGCCAATCACCATCAACGGGAGGGATTTGAAAGAAGTTACTTCTTTCACTTATCTAGGGAGCATTATCTCAACTACAGGAGGAACGGACGAGGATGTCAAATCGGGAATCGGGAAGGCGAGAAACACACTCATCAACCTGAAACCAATCTGGAAATCTTCGTCACTCACCATCAATAACAAAATTCGAATTTTCAATAAAAACCGTCAAGTTAGTTCTTCTATACGGATCAGAAACTTGGCGGGTCACAAAGAATATTCCAACAGGTTGCAGACCTTTATCAACAACTGTCTTCGCTCTATACTGAAGATCAGATGGCCGGGAGGATTCACCAACAAGAAACTATGGGAACAAACAAAACAAGAACCAATCGCCAAACGAATATGCATGAGAAAGTGGAGATGGATTGGAAACTCGCAGAGGTGGCCGTTGGGTAACATCGCGCGTCAGTCCATCGCTCGAGTGAAACCCGAAAGGGAAGAGGCGAGTGGGACGTCCAAGGGTGACATGGAGGAGATCGTGTGATGAGGAACTGAAACAGCATGGATTAACATGGATGCAAGTGAAAAGTACAGCACAAAACAGAAGCAAGTGGAGACGTGCAGTTGAAGCCCTATGTTCCATTAGGAACCCAAGGGAACAATAATATACAGTTAGTACTATTCTTCAGGTTAGTGAGGCACCTTCACTTCACTCTGTGACCACAAATAAGGATGAGAGCCATAGAAACACTCCAGATAACCTTTTAAAGCCACGTCGCCAACTTCATATAGGAGCTTTTAACGTCAGGCCCCTCTGCCAAATCGGACAACAGGCATCACTAGCAAGAACTCTGCCATCTCGAGCCATGGATGTATGTTGTGTTTCGGAGACACGCATACAAGACCCGAGTGTGGTCATTCACTTAACCTCATCCGGTCAACAAAGTGAATCTGCGAAATTCACTTTAATAGCGTCAAGAGACTCCTCAGCTAGTTATCGAGGACTCGCAGGTGTAGGGATAGCACTGAGTGTCAGGGTAGAATAATCACTTCTTGACTGGATCCCAGTAGACAGTCGTATGTGTGCGGTCCGTCTGAATGGGTCCGTTAAAAGAAGGAAAGACGGCGCTACCTGTTGTTGCCTTTTCGTAGCCTCCGCTTACGCCCCAACAGACTGCAGTTCGGATGAACTAAAGGATGATTTCTACCTGAAACTGTCTAATTTGCTGCAAAAAGCAAAACGCTCAGATATAGTTTTTTTTAGCAGGCGACTTTAATGCCCAAGTAGGGAAGTTGTGCCAGACTGAGAAGTATGTAGGTGGTACGTATGGAGTTCCCTGCCGGTGAACCGACAACGGTGATCGTCTTCTTCAGTTTTGCTCAGATAATCATCTGTTCCTAGTCAGCACTAACTTTAGGCACAAAGAAAGACACTGCGTAACCTGGCGACCTATATCATCAAATCAACGTTTGACTTAGATAGATCACATGGCGATAGGGTATCGCTGTCGAGGGTCAGTAGAAGACTGCCGCTCCTTCTGAACCATGTGCGTAGACTCTGATCACGCTCTGGTTCGCGCACGTTTATAATTACGACAAAACGGACATAAGAAATTAATGCCAGCAAAGCAGTTACGCCACCAACTAGTTCCAGAACTGAATCCATATTTAAGGAAGAAATAGCGAAACGAGTGTCTGAGGGTGACAGCAGGACTTCCCCTGGGGTAGCCTGGCACAACATACAGTTAGCTGTAGACACAGCTGTGAAAACTGTTAATAAGCTAAAACCAAAAGTTAGTGAGAGCCATTGGATCTCTACCGCTTCATCCTAACTGATTGACGCAAGAAGACTGATTCTGGCGATCTCCGATTATGATGAGGAGCGAAAGCTACTCAAACGAAAACTAACAAGAAGTCTTCGCGACGACCGTGAACAGTATTGGGCGAAAAAAGCGGAAGACATAGAAAAGGCATCGGCGATTGGTAACACTAGACAACTATTTAGGCTTATCAAGGAAACAGATGGTAAAAGGCAAATGATAAGTGAAACAATCTCTGAGAAAAATGGCACCATGATTAACTTCCAGGATAGACGATTGGAACGCTGGAAAGAACACTGAGGAGCAATTCAATTGGCCTACAGCCACGCTCAACCTGCCGAACATCCAACACCTCGCTGAATGGGATATAGACAAAGGTCTTCCGCCCCTAACTGAGCTCACTAAGGCTGTCACTCATTTGAAACGAGTCAAAGCAGCAGGACCTAATGGAATGCCTCCAGAAATACTTAGGAACGGTGGAGACAGTTTTCTCTCTGCGTTAACTGAGGTAATAGGCAGCGTCTGGGAATCAGAGGAAGGCCCGTCAGGTTGGTGTAAGTCACTGATTATCCCGATATACAAGAAGGGAGACAAGTCTTCCTGTAATCATCACAGAGGGATTAGCTTGACTAATATGGTGGTATCTGAAGTCCTAGGCTGAATAATATTGCGTAGACTAAGTGGTCCTCGGGAGGCACAAACACGAGAGAACTAGGCAAGCTATAGTCCACGAAGAGGATGTATTGATCATATCTTCACCCTTCGACAGATTCTAGAACATAGGCATTCTTACTGGCGTCCAACAATTGTCATATTTCTTGACCTAAAGGTGGAATTCAATTCTGTCGACCGAGAGGTACTCTGGCGATGCTTAGGTGTAAAGGGAATGCCGAGAAAATACATTGCACTGATCAAGGCACCTTACTCGAACTCATACAGTCAGCCAGGTGAGGGCTTATGGCGAGTTGTCATCTGAAGTGGTGACGATTAGTGGTGTCCGTCAGCGATGCCCATTATCCCCATTTGTATTCAACCTCAATATAGATGTACTTATGGACTTAACCCTAACTGACTTCAGAGACACAGGGATTAACTTGTTCGCTTTTAAATCACGAAAAATACCCATTTATTCATAAGTAAAAACACAGTTTTTGTTCAGCGAAGAAATTTCTTTTCAACGACTTCATTTTCAAGCTGTACAGTCGTATTTATATTACACAAAGGTAATATAAATACGACTGTACAGCTTGAAAATGAAGTCGTTGAAAAGAAATTTCTTCGCTGAACAAAAAACTGTGTTTTTACTTATGATTAACTTGTTATCAGGGAATAATCTCGTTGACTTAGAATATGCAGACGATATAGTCCTTCTAGGCGAGGACCCTGACAAAATGCAGAGTCTTCTGAACACCTTGAGCTGCAATCTACGAATGTTTGGCATGCGATTCGCTCCCGCCAAATGTAAGATGATGTTACAGGACTGGACTACATTGACTCACACCTAGCTTAGAAATAGGGAGTGAAGTGGTAGAGCACGTTGACCGCTTCACTTATTTGGGAAGTACCATCAGCCAGCCCCAACGGGTTGATCTCTGACGAAATCTCAGTACGGATACAGGCGGCTGGTTTCTCATATGCCAGTTTACGCCGTCTCTTGCATAGACATGATATCCGACTATCGACCAAAGGGCGTGTGTACTGCTCAACACTCCGCTCCGTCCTCCTATATGGCTGTGAGTGAGACCTGGCCATTGAGAGTGGAAGACATGAAAAGATTAGCTGTCTTTGATCATAGGTGCCTGCGTTCTATCTCCCGTGTGAAGTGGTAAAATAAGGTGAGTAATATTGAGGTTATGCGTCCGGTGAGTGCTAGGTAAGATGGGGAAATCAATCGACGAGGCTGTGAAATTACATCGACTGAGATGGTTAGGACATGTGTCATCGCCTTCCTCGACTGACGGGCAATGTTAGCTGATATAGGGTCAGGCTGGAAAAGAGCTAGCGGTGGTCAAACGAAAACATGGCACCAGTCAATGAAATCCACAACAGTTAGTTTCAGCCAGCCAGGTAGGAAGGTGTAGATTGGCTTCCTGGTTGGGGTCCTCGGGACAGTAAAACCCAATGGTTGGAAACAATTGGTGATATGGCTCAAAATCGTTCTGAGTGGGGCAGATGCATCCACTCCTTGTGACTTATGATTTCCAATGAAACTATATTGTTCTTCGTCATTACTATTACTTTGTCTCACACCTCTGTTTACTGTCTATATTATGCATTTCTCCTACTTTGTTCTCTTCCTTTGTGTGCAACATGGAGTGTGGCGACTTGAATTACTGCGCATCTGTGCAAAGCTCTGTGTGGAATACAGACAGACAGAGGTTTTCATCATAAATCGACATCAGTTAGAAAAAAGTGAGGAGAACTCAGTAGTTCTTTTGTCCTTGTGTAGTTGCCTTCAGAAACTTACCATATCGAATTGAGAAGTTCAGTGTCTTGTATTATTATCAATACTTTTATTATCATTAGAACACAAACTTGGTACATTATGAACACCAAGATATGCGCTACACCATATCTCATGGTTTGTACCAGAGTTGGGATACTGCCCGGACTCCCAGATAGAAGCAATTGGTTGGCTTAAGGGGCCATCTCTGAACATTCTACTTGCAGTGTTAACCACAAGGCAGTGCATCAGCTTCAGAAGTTATGTCCTTATTGTTGCCGGTGATCAGAAATGGTTCATACACCATTTGATCCGTTCGGATTCCGGAGCCCACGTACACCATAGGTTTGAAATCAGGTTTTTCCAGTTCCCCTAGATAAACGAGCATGTCTACCATTTGTTTTTTCAGCGGCAGACGTCTGTATTCACCTCTTATTTGGTAAAGAACACCAGCCACATGAAGGCAGTGAACTGGACTTACCTAGCAGATGCAGTGAATGCGTGGTCAGATAAGAGCATCTCGAGAGGAATACCAAAGTTGTTTATACGGGCTTCCCTGCCTTGTAATATAAATGTTATCAGAATATTATCATAATACTTTCCAATTTGTGATTTCAGACTTACTGTGTGAGGCTAGTGCTTACTGGTGACCCGTTCCCAGTAATGTAAAAATATGGCATCATATACGTTTCTGAATGTTTGAGTGCACTCAGATAAACAAATGACGAATTTCAGCATGGTGGTAGGTGAGATAGAAGTGTCCACACTTTTAATACACAGATACCGGTGTCAATGAAGGACGTGAAATGACGAAAGGACGATTGTAAGAACACATTACTTTGATGCTCTGTGAACAAATAGGTTACTGATAACACTCTAAATACCTAAGTGGAAATTCGTTGTTCAGTTGACAAGTGCCTTGTATCGCCATGCTTTTTTGTAAAGTTCTGTGTTGTTAATTAGGTCGGCTAGTTATATGTGTACACAAAGTAGTTAAGTTTTTGCTAATATACTTGTATTTCGCCCACCCCATATAACAATACTTTTGAAGTTTAAAGTAAGGTGCTTAAATTAAATTGGAACACAGTTTTCTCTGAATTTACGATATTTGCGTTTTGCCCATGGTTGTCTGTTTCTCTTTTACAGATACTGTGCTTATATCACCTTTGAAGGTAGTAAATTTAACAGACTTTGTCATCTTCCCGGCTTGTGTTGTTCAAATTTGTCTAACAGCTTTAAAAAGTAATGCTTGTAAGTTGAAAATCTCTGATAATGCTTGCTATTTTATGTATTTTTCGTTTTATGCCGATTTTGCATATTACAGTTTGTGTATCATTAAGTTCATGCATCACAAAAATAACTGTTCAAATAGTAGTCATATGCCGTTCTATCGTACTGTAGCTGGCCCGACATGTTAAACCTTCAGTTGAAAAAGGGGCCTTTTTAATGTTCAAGTTCGGCACAAAAGTAGATATAGTTTTCTTGGCTCAATAGAAAGATTGTAATGAGAAACTGGTTTCCGAAAACCATAGCGTAGAGAAAGACCTGTGGTACGTCTGGTTAAATGCATTAAGGAATCAGTTGTACCGTAAGTGTAACCCTGTGTGATAAAGGACCAACTGATCAGACAAAGTGTTAGGTAAAGAATATAAGGCAGCGGATTGGGTTATTGACCTACAATGGCTGAATTGGCTACAAAACGCGTTATCTGTGTTAAGATATTATGTTTCTTCGCAAACTATGGTATCTCATGTAGACCTAGATTGGAAGTAAGTAAGAGATATACGGTGGAGAGGGGAAGAAGTTGCATAATTCCACGAAGTCATAACCATAGTAGATAACTGTTGGCTGTCCGAATGGAATCCTGTAGATGACGAAGATCAGTTAATTAGGAACTAACTATTCAATTGGGAAATGAATAATGACGAGCTACTCTACAGTGCTGAGACTAATCTGATGACTTCTCAATCCTAGTCACTTTAATGTACAACTGCATATTTTACTTAGTTCATGCAAAGAAGCAAACTATGTGCTTGGAGAAACCAATTGGGAAGAGATGAGGAAGAGGAGAAGGAATGTATGAGATAATGTTTTCCCTCTCTCTCTCTCTCTCTTATTATGAGATATTGGACATGCTTGCTGCTCAAGTGAAGCATGTTTTCTTCTGCGGTTGTGGATATTAACCCTACATTGCTTAAGTTTTAAAGTTAGTTTTGTGAATAATCTATATTTCGATTATGTAAAGTATCAATCTCCCCTTTGTTTCGTTGTATTTGTGTGTGCTATTTTTGAATTATAATTATTATTGTTTTATTCTAAACGAATCGTTTTTTTTCCTTTCATCTTTACTCTTTGTCTTTTGGAGTGATTGCGGCCTACCAACCAAGTGTATCCTCTGATCAGTTTTTCCATTGTTCTCCTAATCGCTGCTCAACTGAATGCCTCCTAATAAATTATTCTGGTAACGTGTTTATTTTGCAGTGCTTCTCTCCAGATGTACCTTGTGGAAGTACAGCGAAATCAACAGGAGTGAATGAAACGGTAAAAAAAAGTCGTTGAGCATGCTTTCATTAACTGTGTGTTTATTTTTATCTGCATTCTGTTCAATTTTGATCAATGCACAATATCCTTTCGCAGTTGTAGTGGTAAACTCTTACAATCCTTACGGCTTATCTTGCCTGGAATTAATTCTTCGCGTATCCCCTTATTTATAATTATGGGATGGATAAACTCAGAAGAGAAATGACTATATGTATCTTCATTTTTTATTGACCTACTAAATTGATTATCGACTGGCCCATATGGACAAAGCAAGTTTGAATCGTGTAATGTAATTGCGCAACACATTTCGGACAATCTTATGACACACAGACTTGTCATTGGAATATATATAAAATTAATAGAGTTAAAAGGTGAGAAAATCAATTTAGGTCAAGTTAAACAGAGGTATTGAAGGTCAAGATAACAATGAGGATCACTAAACCAAATAAGAGAGGTAATAGTACATCTCGAAAATGACCAAGGCTTAGTGTGATGATTTGTTTTTGAACCCATAAAGTTGGTTTAAACTTCCTAATTGCTGGGGTTTCCACAAACATTAGGATACTCTCCAAACACACTTCATAGAGAGGTTTAAAAGACGTGTAATCATTAATTTTATGTCCTGTCTCTATAATATGTTTCGCAAAAGAGGAGCTAGGTCTTCTGTTCCCACCATTAATGGGTGCTCGGGATTCTATTTTTCTGGAGCCATTTAGGAATATGCTCTGAAGCCGTTACTTGCAGAGATCAACGAGTCCTCTCTTTGTAAGTGTGGCCACAGGTACATTCAAATTGGTAAATACAGTGGGGTGTGACATCATTTTTCATGTGTACAGAGAGCTTAGATGGATATATGGGCTTCACATTCTCAATTATTGTTATCGTAGCTGCATAAAAAGTCTTTTTAACCGCAGCGTTCAAACTTTATGTAGTTGCCAAGCTACCTTGATGCCCCATATAGGGTAGCTCGGTGTACACGTCTTTCTCAGACGCGAGTTGGAGTTCCTTGTTTGTTGTGTATTTTTTTTTAATTTTGCATCTCACTACTTAAATCCTTAATTTGGCTATTTAGATTGATAACATATTGCATAAGTAGCCTTTATGAACATCACAGATTAAAATCGTCAAACTAATACATCAGGAAGTTATTTTTCCTAGTAAAATAATTTAAATACACAACTTCTTTTTCAATAGCAACTGCATTTCGGAAAACCTTTCTTAATCGCCTCTGAAACTGAAGTTGTGTGGTCTGCAGGTTGTTATGGGTCTTTTAAATCTTCACCGCAACATTCTTCGCTTAAATCATCATATATGTATCATATAAATCCGTACACAAGTGATTCCCTTTGGTTTTATTCGGGAGCAAGTGGATTTAGTGTTTGGCTTGCTCTACCGCCAATCACTTCCTCTTCATCTCATATAAACTCTGTTGTATCTGGTGACAGTTACGTAAATAGTGTCACCTCGGAGAATGCGTCAACGCCTACCTATAACTTCCGACGGATAATGCTGCCAGTCAAACTAAACAGTGACTTCTATCCCCTCAGTAAGTGCTTTACCAGTACTTATTTTTATTCCTTATCATAAGGCATATTGTTTCGTTTACGTTAAAATTACTCTTGATGTCTTTACTTTTTTGTTTCGTCTTGCCGTTTTGAATATTTCATTTTTTTCGGGGGAGGGGTATCATCAAATTTTGTGTAATAGTTGTATGATTTAAAAACTCCCATTGTAACATTATTATTGTTCCCTTGGGTTCCTAATGGAACATAGGGCTTCAACTGCACGTCTCCACTTGTTTCTGTCTTCTGCTGTACTTTTCACCTGCATCCATGTTAGTCCATACTGTTTCAACTCCTCTTCACACGAACTCCTCCATGTCACCCTTGGACGTCCCACTCGCCGCGCACGATGTCACCCAGCGGCCTCCTCAGCGAGTGTCCAATCCATCTCCACTTTCTCATGCATATTTGTTGAGCGATTGGTTCTTGCTTTGTTTGTTCGCATAGTTTCTTGTTGGTGATTCCTCCCGGCCATCTGATCTTCAGTATAGAACGAAGACAGTTGTTGATAAAGGTCTGCAACAGGCTGTTGGAAATATTCTTTGTGACCCGCCAAGTTTCTGATCCGTATAGAAGAACTGACTGACTTGACGTTTGTATTGAAAATCCGAATTTTGTTATTGATGGTGAGTGACGAAGATTTCCAGATTGATTTCAGGTTGATGAATGTGTTTCTCGCCTTCCCGATTCTCGATTTGACATCTTCGTCCGTTCCTCCTGTAGTTGAGACAATGCTCCCTAGATAAGTGAAAGAAGTAACTTCTTTCAAATCCCTCCCGTTGATGGTGATTGGCGGTGGATGTTGTTGCTGCTGTTGTTGTTGTTGGTTGGTTATTTTCATAACCTCCGTCTTGTCTATGTTCACCTGGAGTCCTGTCTTTGCTGCTTCTTCGACCAGTTTGTCGGTTTTCGCCATTAAGTCTTCGATTTTGTGTGACATCAAACATAAATCATCCACGAAATCCAGGTCTTCTAGGTTCTTCACGTCGGTCCAGGATATCCGTCTTCTCGTTCCCCACTGTCTGACGCATGATCCAGTCCACCACAATTAAGAATATCATTGGTGATAATAAGCACCCTTGTCTGACTCCTGTGTTTACTCGAGACGCCTCTCTGAGTTTTCGGTTGTGGATCACTTGACATGTGCCGTTGTCGTACAGCTGTTGAATAAGGTTGATGAATATTTGGGTACGCTGTTGTACTCGAGTATTTTCCAAATTACTTCGTGGTCAACGCTGTCGAAGGCCTTCTCGAAGTCTATAAAGTTGAGGTAGAGGTTTGATTGTCATTCCATGCTTTGTTCGATGATGATGCGTAGAGTTGCAATTTGGTCAGAACATGATTTGCCTTTCCTGAATCCAGCTTGTTCTGGTCGGAGTTCTGTATCCAGTGCGTCCTTTATTCTCTCTGAGATGATGCAACTCAGGATTTTACTTGGCGTCGACAAGAGCATGATTCCTCGCCAGCTCTTGCAGAGTCCCAGGTCGCCCTTCTTTGGTAGTTTCACGAGGTAACCTTTCCTCCAGTTAGTAGGCATTTTTCCCTCCTTCCAGACTTTTTGCAGTAGTGGAGTCAGCATAACTGCTGTCGTCTCCGGGTCTGCTTTCAGTGCTTCAGGGAGTATTCCATCTGGTCCATCTGCTTTTCCAGCTTTCAGAAGCTTGATTGCATTCAATACTTCAGCTTTCATTGGAGGATTGGTGTCAACTTGCAGTTGTGTACGTGCTGTTGTTGGTATTTCTGGACGGGCTGCAGATGGTGGTCGGTTCAAGAGTCCTTTGAAGTGGTCCGCCCATTGTTTAATCTGTCTTTCTTTCTTGGTAATTGGGTCCCTTTGGCTGTCATTGTAACATTAGGAACACAATATTCATTCAACGAAGATACTCTTTTCAACGAATTTATTATCAAACTGTACAATCGTGTATATGTGGTTTTTAAGAAATTAAATCCCGTGAGCAGATTTAAACAAAGGTGTGAATACATGAAATAATAATAATAATGTGAAATGCAATACAAATGTTCTTGACTTTAATCATTGTTAAATGTCAAGTGGAAAAACAAATGATGTCATATGTAGTACAATAGTATGTATTATAAGATCTATGAATGTTGGAAATGGGTGTGTAATTATAGGATTAGTAAGCGAATATTAAACGTTACATAACATGTTATGAAATTTGGTAAGATAGAATTCAACCTTGTAAAAAATTTTCGATTTAGAATGACAAGTGGGACAATTAAAATTATATCTGAAACAGATCAAAGTGAGAATAGTAATGGTAACAATAATAATGGTTGTATTAATCAGGGAAAGGTGCATAGATGAACTCAACCAAAAAGAAAGGAAAAATTAGTAGATAAGTGTTTATCCTTCTATGGACACAGTAGAAATAGGAACTGTACGTACTTCTTTTGCACATAATGGTCTGATTTGAATTTAAGAATGACCAAGGCCTCCACTGTCTTTAGAAGTTTAGAACGAAGAAAACACTGTAAGTTACATAAATTCGATAGATTATCTTGAAATCATTTTCGGAGTTGGTAGAGGTCGATCAAGTTTTCTAAAATGAGACTTCATATACCCTTCCTTTCTCCTTTGCGAAACCATTTCAGAATGTTCTCTTATCAGTGTGGAAAGCATCCTCTGGCAACGGCCAATGTACCCTGCTCCATAAGAGTAGGTGAACTGATAGGTACACCTGGGAGCTGCCAGACTGTTGAGAATTGGTATTATTCTTTATAGATCTAATATGCACTTAACATTACCTTTGATTTCATTTCTCCTTTCATTTTGTTTCGAAATCTTTACAGCAACCCGCACAACCAGGATTTCCGACCTTCATCATTTTCTCAAGTTTTTTCAGGTTAAAATGAAAAACACTTATTATTTCATAGTACGGTGCCCCATCACCTCTATTCAGCATTAGTAGCCAATGCCAATGAAAATAATTTCTTTTCTGTTTTATTTCTTTGAAAATACAAGTCTTTTATGTAGCGATGGATACTGTTCCGCAAATATATCAGTTTCTTTGCACTTAGTTGAAGCATCTACGCAGCATTCATTAACCAGCTCTAGAGTTGTTGTCTTTAGTGTGGTTCCAATCGTACTGGCGGGTCGAAATTCACGTTATTTCTAGTATTTTGCATTATCCCCGAAAGAAGTCGATTTCTGTCAGTATACGTGCTAGAATTTCGATAGTCTGTTTAAGTGTTTTTAAGAACGTGCTATTTGAAGTCTTCTATGCTCTGATCTCGAGTCTGGAATATCAAAAGCCGTTATTGTGACTTTTCCTGTTAAACAACGGCATTTGAATGATCATGATTCATGTGTTATAACTGTTAATGTAAGATATTATTGATGATTTTCTTGTTTATTTATTCTATGCTGGTTTGTTCAGTCAGTAAACAGTTATATTTTCATTTTTCTGAGCAGGATTACGTTACAAAGACTATTATTAATAATCTTGTAGTCATTATGCTCATTTTTCGTATAAAGTATAATTTTTCTTTTTTCTTTTCAGTCATCTGTTTCTTATACGTTTGTATTTCTAAATGTGTTGAATTCAGGTATTTTCTTTCCGGAGAATTTGCTGGTGGGTATTACTAAGGACTTTCACCGTTGTTGGAATGTGTCAAAAATTAACGCTAAAGAAGACATATCTTCTGATATCTTCACCTTGTTTCCTTATGGAGTATTCTTTGTAGAGGTACAGTTGCCTAAATCTTTGTTTTGAACGTAGTAGATTTTATGAATCCTTTTAAATTAATTGGTGATTTCTCAGTGATATCTATGGCATCGTTTGTAACGCTTATGCTCCATGATGTTGACAAAAGCTATTATAGTCTCTAGTTGTCATTGCAATTTTCGCTGAATTATTATGACGTTGCGAATTCGTGAAGCAGTTAACATGAGCATTTATCACACGTTTTGAGATTTGACTAAATATCTCTATCTTTGATGAGACGAAACGAACTAGGATGCTGTTTGTAAAGCTGAGACTTTCAGTGTCTGCCTTTGTGTGAAGCGTTTACAGTTACTTAATGTAAGCGTAAAACTTGGACACTGTAATTCCATGTTAAATAAGTGTATTTGGTATGACATACAGCGATATAGTGTTAATGCGTAGGATTTTCAATGTGGCCAGAATTAGGGCGGTATTTAAATGAAATACAACTCCCTATTAGACATAAGATTTGTCGGCTTGATGGAGAGCGGACAGATCCAATGAAGAAAGATAATATAATTTACCGAATACCGTGAAATGACTATGAGGTCAGCTCCACAGGTCAAACTAGTAGATCGGCGTTAATTAGATTATTGGAAAATAAAATTTAACCAAATGTAAAATGATTGACCTGGTTGAGCTAAATAAGCTAAATAACTTAGAAAAAAAGTTCTGTCATTGTAACGTATTCACTTGTATGTAATCCTACAAGGGGTGGGACGGCATGAAAGCATTAAAAAGTGCTATAGTTTGGTGAAGAAAGAGGTTAATTACTGAATCTGTGTTCATCGAATCAACACCAAACACATGCAAGCGAAATAACACCTGTACTGTAGATATGGAAATTTGCGACATATAACGAGGGAGGGGGGAGGGAGAGAAAGAAATATATAAAGCAAATTATGAAGCTGTGTGAATAAATTTATACGATTAAGAGCAATAAATTGTGCTCAAAACGTCATCCAGTTATCACTAATGTATCAGTGTGTGCTTTATCAAATAAAGCGATCTAATTTGACACTTACAATTGTTTACTTATATCTAGAATGTGCAGCCATACCTATTTGATTTTTTTTCCTTCACGTTCCCAGTGGAACATAGGGCCTCAAGCTAGTGGCTTGAAGTTTCTGTAGCAGTGTTTATTTTACAGGATGGGGTTGCTAGCCTCATGCCCCAGCCTTTCCTCTTTACCAGCATTATTTCTGGCTTAGCGAGGTAAAGGAGTGCGTCGGCGGGGGGATCGAACCCCCGGACCATGTGTATGGTCGGCGAGCGTCCTAACCGCTATGCCACTGACGCACTACTTATTTGGTGATGCGCTTATATTATGCAATAACAATTAAATGGGAGCAGTATATCGTGTTTATGATCAGATTAGTACATATTTTTTCTGTTGATTTGCGTTTAAAGTGTGGTAAGCGTTTTCTGTTGGCGTTTTCACTCTTTCTTCTGTTCTGGGTGTAATTTATTTCACATGGATATCATACATTGAAATAATACCGCTTAATCTGTGCCTGCAGTTATTGTATGTTCATTACACTTGAGTATTAATTCTGGTAAAATATTTCTTGCCAATTACATGTAAGTCGTTCCACCTCCTTAATTCACGCAAGCGTTTTCGCTAAAAGTATAACTAGTCATTTTACTGTAATCATATGTATGCCACACAATTGGTTTTCATTGCTCCAAATCTCAATAATGCATGCACTCTTAATTTCAGGCACACACTGGTTTTCTTTTCTTTTTTTTCAGATTCAGATAACACTGCATCAAATTATTCAGCAATTGTTAAAAAAAAAGTGAGGCACTTGACTTAGTGTTTATTTTTCTCTCAAGCTTCATTTATTGTAAATTTTAAAATATTTAACTCCCTTAGGTAGTAATTATCGCTGCATGAATACTCGGTTGCCTTGATCACATTCTCGAAAGAATAATGTTGAAACTGAATTAGCGTAGGTTCTTTTTTGAATAATATAAATGGGTGGTCATGAGCCTAGATTGGTGTGTGTGTGTGTGTGTACACTGTTAGTACTTATCAATAAGTTTTACCGACTAGTTGGTGGTGTTTCATTCATAATGCAGTCTATTTGTGTTCACCTTCAGCGCATAAACTTTTATCTCACCTTGTTGCAACTCTAAACAAATCAGGAACTACAAGCTTGCACTCTTGTTTGAATGTTCCATAAGGCATTCAGGAATCATGAGACGTTATGTAGTTGTTTTTAATTGACAACTGATAGCTGCACTACTTACTATGAAAAACATGCTAGTTGCAGAGTTTTATACATAAGTCAATAATTGAAAAAGTGTTTAAAAAGATTTTAAAGCAGAAGTTAGAATTCATGGGGCATTGGATCGGGTCCCAGTAGCCTAATAGTCTACGAGCTCACCTTGTAACCAGAAGGTCCTGGGTTCTGACCCCGATGGGTGCGCACTGATGAAGAGTCCCAAACTAGGACGAAACAGATGTCCCGTACTCCCAGGTTTTCCAGTGATTCTTTAACTGATGTCACCTCATGATGAAATCCTCCAACTAATCAAACTGAATCCCTACAAAAAGCAATATTTGAATAAGCATAAAATAGGCGAAAAAATCTTATCTATTCTGCGGCGGTTGTCACATCGTTGAATACCTTGTAGTTGACTTATATCTTCATTCCTGGAAATGAGTAAATATATAGGGATAAATCCAAACAATTTGAATAATCTATGTCAGTATCGGTCTAAGGATACCTCCGTTTATAGGTATCGTGTTCCAGAAGCATAGTTTGACCATGAATCTGATGTAAACATGCATGTTTTATGCAATATATTGTACAATGTAAGTTATATACCTATCTCCCCAAGCCATAACTATTCTGTTAATATCGTTACTGACTAGATGAGTACTGTTGTAGCGGAAATCATAATAAGGGTAATCACCTTTTACAATTTGTCATATTTGCATCTTGATTGATTGCATAGTATTTCAGGATTCAATGCTTGAATACATCAATCTCTTTTGTGCTCAGATAATTGTTTTGTCGCGCTATTAGTATGATTTACTGCGATTGAACGTAATGATGTTTTTTCGCTTTGTTTTTGTAGTTTGGGAGCCCATGCGTTTCAAATGAGTCTTGTGTATCAAAATTTCGAATATTTCCCTCGTACTTTGGAACTGTTATTGCACGAAGTTTTGGAGGTTGAAGCCGCTTCGAAAATTCCGACTCCAGGTAACTTTTTAAAATATACTATCATAACTTTACTTTCCCTCCTGCATGTTAATCTTGAGTTACGTGAAGTCGTCCACATCTAGGAAATAACTATTGCGGGTTCATGACAAGCATTATTTACGATACATATTTTTCACCTTCATCTATGACGTGCTATTTATTTTTTATAGTGACACGTACACACTGCTGAGGAGTACGATTAGGAAGAAAAAACTACTCAGTAGTCCCTGATGTTCAATCATCCCTCTACATGATGTTACTTCGCGACTAAATCTAGCAAAAGGCATCAAGAGTCTACTACACACAATAATACTATGCTTACCAGATTTGAAACATGTACTTGATACAACGGGTTAATGCGCTCACCGAAACTCGAGTATATAAGGGCACCAAACACTGACCACAATGCCCAGCCACAGTGTAACCAAGCAACTGCCAAAGTATAACCGTCTGGGGACCATACAACTTCAGACACAGCTCCTAATTGTTTACGCGAGCCTGAAGTAATCATAATAGACAGTTTCTGTGAAACTTTGTTAATGCAGAGAGACGCTAAATGCATACATAATTGAATGGGTGATGCGTCTTTATCTTACTATTATTATTATTTCTTCGAATTCCAAGTAGGACATATAGATTCAGTAGCACACATCCATTTCACTCTCTCCTCTTCGGTCCTTCTTAGTCGACTACACTAATGCACACATAAGCTCTGATCTCCTCCTGATGAGGATATCTTCATCTGTGCTGCTTGTAGTTGACCCCATAGTGCCTGGATAAGTGGGAGAGATGACTTTCTTTAGATTTCTCCTGTTAATGAAGAAATAAGCCCAGAGTTTCCTATGTTTCTCCTCCTTCCTTCCTAGGTTCTCTTTCATTCGTCTCATCGGTGTTGACTCTTCATGGACAGCGACCTGGTTATCTGGCATAGTATTCTGAGATATCTCTTCCTAGTGGCCAGTGTGTCATAAAGTCATTTTTCGCCTTTCGTCTCACACTCATCTTCACTCTTCACTACTCTGTTCAGTGAGGTGAAGAATAAACTCAGCTTGTTCCTTTCCCTGTCCACCTTTGCACTGGTTCATCTTCTGTTCCAGCATCCTTGCCTCTCGACTATCAGGTTGCACAAGTGTGTCTTCCTTCCTCACCCAGATGGCTATACAATATAGGCTTCCTTCAACACCACTTTCAGAGAGTCGCAGTGTTCTTCAACGCAGGTTCCCTCGGTGATGCCACTTAGTGTCTCTGACTTCTTTCTGATGACTGCAGTGAACTCATCCTTGGTAACTTAGTCCGTTGGTTTGCGATTGTTGAGCTTCTATTATGGTTCATCACCAGCTTCTTTGAAGGCTTTCAAAGTGATCTTGAAAGTCCCTTGCAGTAGATAATGATCTGAGCTACTCTTCTTGACACAGTGTTTTACGAGGCTGCACATCCACTCTCTCGACATCCCTTTGAAGTCTATCTGATTTCGGATGCATCCATTTGGTGAGATATTTGACTCCTTGTGTATCTCCTTGTGATTGCACATGCTGCATCAATCCCCATATCAATAAACCGACAGAAGTCTGCAAAGAGTTCACCGCCCTCGTTCATTTCACCGATCGCCTCACAACGCACAATGAGTTCTGTCTGTATTTGTTTGCTGTCGGTTTGCTTTGCATTCATATCACCGATTAGAACTTCGATGTCTCCATCTAGTCGGGGTTATATCGATTACTGTTTTGAGCTGTCTGTAGAAGTCCTCCGTCTTTTCCACTGGGTCTGCATTGTTTGTTGGAGTGTAGCACTGTGTAAATTTAACCCTCCCACCTTTTGAGTTGAATCTCGCTATCATTATTCTGGAGGAGGTAGGTCGCCAGTACATGCGAGCCCTGAATGCTCTTAGTGACATCATGATAACCGAACTATCAGTGTGTTAGTGTTTGTTGTCTGGATGACCGGAGAAGATTGTTGACTCTGTAGTTAACAATTTGTAGAGCCCACTTCCAATCCATTTGCTCCTATGCATTTCCATAATCTCTATAACTTTATTTCCTCATTTATTTTGCAATCTGAGCAAGCTTGTAACCCTAAACATGGTAGGGACATACCATGCCTCATATTGACTGGTTTCCTGCGTCATTCCGCCTCTCAAATTCGTGCAAGGAACATGCTTATCTTCATATTTTTATTTCAGTACTGTGATGTTTCCGTACCGATTGGGTTGATTTTCTGGGGTAATGTTGCTAGTCCCTTCCCTCGTTGTCCGGACTTGGGACAGGCCAAAGAAACAGGCAAAGTTACGTCTTTGTTTCATTATTACTTAATCAATTTAAAGATACACGTGATAACTCAGTGCACCTTTCTAATCCTGTGGTTGCTGCTGTGTATTTATCAATGACTAGCTTTGTACTATTATCGTCACTATGAATTTGTGTGTGTTTCATGAAGTATATAGGCTAACAACGCTGTTTGTTTTCGACATAGAACTTTGCACATATATGCGGCAGTTCCAGTCGCCACACTTCATGTAGCACACAAAGCAAGAGAAGAAAGTAGGAGAAGTGCATATTAGAGACAGGAAAAAGAGGTGTGAGACGAAGGAATAATAATGACGCAGAACAATATAGCTTCATTGGAAATCATAGGTCACAAGGAGTGGATGCATCTGCGCCATTGAGAACGATTTTGAGCCATGTCACCAATTGTTTCCAACTATTAGTTTTTACCGTCCCGAGGACCCCAACCAGGAAGCCAATCTACACCTTCCTACCTGGCTGGCTGAAACTAACTGTTGTGGATTTCATTGACTGGTGCCATGTTTTGGTTTGACCGCCGCTAGCTCTTTTCCAGCATGACCATTTGTCAGCTAACATTGCCCGTCAGTCGAGGAAGGCGATGGCTAGGCATATGTAACACATATCCTGCTTATCTAGCACTGGACGCCCAACCTCAATATTGCTCACCTTAATATACCACTTCACACGGGAGATAGAACGCAGACACCTATGATCAAAGACAGCTAATCTTTTCATGTCTTCCGCTAACAACGCTACTGGGTTCCGAACTGTTTAAACTATTGTTATTGTGCATCTTGAATACTGAAGTGCTGATTACTGAAATTACATGTTAATTCAGTGTAAACATTCTCATAAATATTTGACAGCTTATCGCGTAAAACATACTTGGTTTCATGTTTATAAAATAAAGCATATAAGTACATGATGACACGTAAAGATAAACAAAGAATATGAGAAAACACTAACAAGATGATTCGCGGTTATGCATTCGAAGAGTGTGTTGCACCTGAACAGTACCAGAGACTTCATCCATTCTGTACAAGAGGACTTCACTACTACTAGGAAAGAAACAACAAAGAATTCATCAGTATTAAAATGGAAGGTTTATAGGATATTTATTAATAAATCCCATCTTGAATCATCATCATCATCACTGATTTATCATTAGTTTATGCCATAGAGCATAACAACCGTTTCGTCTCAGTCTGCATCTATTATCAATATAAAAATAAGAACACAATGATATTTCAGACACTACATCAGTCAGGAAAGGTTTAGTTACATTCGAAAGAAAGGAACGTTGATTGGTACCATTTATATGGAAATCAATGGAATTCCGATGCAGAAACTAATCCGCTATACTATACGTGTCCACCCTTTGACTTTTATATCAGAAAGCTCGTAGGTGAAATATGAAGCCTAGATCTTTTTTCAGTCAGTACACATCCGATTTCCATTCAGATAGATTGTCCGCCAATTGTTCTGCAGATAACAATAGCATGATGGAGTTTGTGTTAGTGTCCTACTCTTGGAACCTCCGAACCCGGATTTTGATTTGAACCGCAGAATGCTATTCATAGCAGGAAATCAAGTGTACATCATAGTCTCAAACATGATCTTCAACTGAGTGTCTGAGGTAAATCAAAGCAACACGTCATACAAGCCAAAAACAATGTTGATAGTTGTAACGGAGATGTAGGCTGCACTGTTCAGACTAAATATTTCTGCTATCTCTGTCTCTTGTTCAGACCTAGGAGTAGAATTGGATATTCTACATTTACCTGGCCACTGAAAAGAGTGTTGCATATTTGAGAGCTCAATGAGATAAATCGTTATTAAAATGCAGATAACGAATAAAGGTTTACAGTTGTGTAATTGACGTTGCATGTAAGGAGTCTATAGTTTGGTGCACCACCGCTCGTGCCACCATGCACTTAAATAGCGAATATTTCAGGTTATAATGTATTAATTTATTTATTCTCTCAAAGTGGCATACAATCTTGATTTTCGTATGTTTATGATTTTAAAAATTTAGATCCTTTATTACCGCAAGTTGTAGCGCTTATCCAACAGTTTCCTAACTTTTTGGAGATACTGGCTCACTGTTCGCGTAAAACTGATGTAACCTGGTGGCCTCACTTATTTACAACCATTGGAAGAAAGCCGCGAGATCTGTTCGAACTGTGTTTGGAAAATCAGCAACTAGAAACAGCAGCTTCGTATTTAATTATTCTGCAAACATCGGAAGCTGTTTCTGTTAGTTGGAAGGTGATTATCATAATTATAACTATTTGTATTAATGTTATTATAATTAATCTTTTACATTCCTTGTAGATCATTGCCCTTCAACAGCGTATCTCTAAATCATCCTGTCCGCTGAAATCGTCCTCCGTTGCCTGCTCGATTGTGCATAAGCTCTTTTCTCATTCGCACATGATCTCTTTCATGTCACCCTCGAAAACCGGACTCGTCGTTTCCCATTCGGGTTGCACTTTCAGTCGTGCCGCGCGATGTCATCCAACGGTCTCCTCAGCGTGTGTTTGATCTATCTCTGTTTAATTTGGCATATTTATTGGGTGGTAGGTTCTTGGTTGGGAGAGTTCGTCGTTTCTAAGCACATGTGGGCATCTGATCTTGAGTATGGAAGCAGTGAAGGCAGCTGTTGATGAAAGTATGCATCAGCTTATTGGGAATGCTTTTGGTGACGCGTCAACTGTGTGAAGTATGCAGTTGCACTGACTTGACATTAGTGTTGAAAATCCAAATCTTCTTGTTGCTTAGTGAGGTTTTCGACCCTACCATTGAAATGCCCATTTGTGTCGCCTGTAGTTGGGACAATTCTTCCTGAAAAACTTAAACAGTTAGGCTGCCGTAGATTTTGAGAAGTAATACCATTTTATCTTACATTGGGGCTACAAACCGTCTATGGACTCCATCTGTGGAACAAGAATTGGATAACCCTGTCGCAAAACCTTGGAACTACTCAGAAACACGGACTTATCGACAACTTCAAGCAGTTCACCTGCACGGGTGAATACACGTACAAGCATCTGTCAATCTTAAACTTAGACGACACAAAGGATACAAGGTACTTCAGACACAGAGCGCCAACAGATTAAGTGCGATTTAGGCAATCTGCGTGCTATTGCACAGTAAGACGATATCGTCTGCATACTCGAGGTCGGAAAGTCTTTCTCCAGGAAGCGTTACCACCATGCACGTCTGTCAGTGCTGACTCCAGAATGTCATCGATTGTAAAGTTAAAGCGAAATGAAGAGACTAGACAACTCTGTCTAACCTCACTGTTGATGGGGAACAGAGAGGATAGATGGCTGTATGCCGTCGCTCTACCTCAGGTATTTCTAAATAGGGCTTACAGGACGTTAGAAAAAATTCTCAGGTACACCCTTTTCTGACACTGTTCTGATGAACCGTTCTGTGCAACGAATCAAACGCAACCTTAATACCAAGGAACATAAGGATTGTTGGCCTACAATAAGTGTGAAGGTCTTCCAACAACTGACGAAGGATGAACACGTGGTCAATACATGAACGGTCTGAACGAAACCCAGCCTGCTCTTCGCGAATCACATGTTACGTCAGCCCTTTTTAAAGATAGGAACGATGATGGCTTCATTCCACATTGATAGAACATCCTCACCTTTCCTAAACAATGCAGTCAAAGTCATGACAAGAATCTCGCCACCACCTTCAAAATGAGCCAGAGGTAGATTGTCTGGGTCGGGTATCTTATGGCACCTCAACACTTGGAGTTCCTTTCGGACATGTGCTTTGATTGGTGGGTCGGTATTGACCGACGAAGGAGCACTGTAGCTGATGATGTTGATTGCTGGCGCCGACGATCAGGTATACAAATGCTTCTGGAATTGCTCCACCCACCGCTGCAGGCGTATTTTCAGGCTGGTAATTAGTGTTCCATTTGGCTCACGGACCATCTCGCTGACACCATGCTTCTTGCTGTTGGTGGCTTGAATGAGCGGGAACAGAATCCAGCTACCTTACGCAAACACTGTTTAATCTCACACTCAACTTGTTCATTCAACTCCCCAGCTAGCACTACGATATCCCTCTGACGCGATTGTTTAAGGAGATCATCCGTCCTTGATCTGCATCCGGGCAGCAATCCATCGGTGCATAGGGATAGACTACAAATAGGCACTGCCTACCTGGCTTATCACTTCTTACTCTCGTATGACCTTCCAGACTTACAGTACATAAACGACTGTTAATGGGAATCCAGTAGAGTAGTGCAGCTTGAGCTCTTTCGCCGGATGACGACGCCACATGGCCCTCAGGTAAGCGCAGGTAGCACATACTACTCGAACTTCTAGATGGAGAAGATATTCAAAATGCTTTACTAGGATATTGAATACGAGTCCCCGAAATACAGCAGATAACGATAGGGAGGTTTCCTAGTTTATTTTGTCAGACTTGCCTGTTTTCTTCGATTTGCATCAGTGTCCGAATATTGTAGGTGGCTGGCTGGCTCGGACGTGGCATGTGGTTTCAGAATATCTGTGTTAGATATCACACTGTGGGCCAGCATTTTGAAGGCTACTCACGGACATCTCTGAAAGGCACAGATAGTCTGAGAAATTAAGCAAAGGCGAGAGGCCGATGGAAGTGGAAACACCAGGGATAGCAAAAATAACAAAAGTTTACGTTAATTTGTTTATTAGATATGTCACACAGTGAGACGGTATGATTTATTGCTCATAATCATATCAAGTTTGTGTATGGAAATGAAGTTAAAAATGCGTTGTTAGAAATACCATTATGGTTGTTCGTGAGCATAATAAAGAGCATGTGATTAAATTTCCTCATGATTTATTGTTTTTATTGTTACTGAGGGGACGGGGATACTGCTCAGGCACCTAGACCGGTGCAGGTGGTTGTCTTAAGGGAGCACTCCCCACTCGAGTCCTTGACTTGAAATCTCATTCAAAAGGCAGCGTCAGGAGCTACATTCCCATGGTTTCCGGTGACCCACCTGTTAACGTATAATTTGGTTATAATCTATTGTCTATTGCTTTTGTTTTTGTTTTTTTGTAATTTCTGACATGATAAACAGATGTTAACCGGTTGCTCTTTTTCATTCTTGAGTGCAAACCTGTTGATTTAAGACTGTAAATGGGGTAATGGGAAATTCATTCAAAAATGAACATCTATAAGTAAAGTGTTGTTTAAGAAAGGTTACATGACATAGAATGCTGTTCTATAGCAGTATGGTATATTGTTTAGTTTTCGTTATACCTTGTGTGCAGTATTCGGTGAATTCATTTGAAGTCTTCTGGTGTATTAACTCTTCCGAATCTTTTTTTTTTGAAAACTTCTTTGTTTTCTATTGTTTAGTGTGCACTCAATCTCTTTCGAGCATCACTGCAATCATTGAAGTGGAACTTGATCAGGGATATATTGCGTTTTCTCTGTTCTATTGGTAAGTTGTGTGATGAATGAATCCCATACAATATTGCTGAGGGTGCTCCAATTTTTATTTTTTAGTATGTTCTTTGAATTGATATTCCCTTGCTTTCTCTTTTAGGCATCATTCACACGAATATAGACTTTCGTTACTTTTTTGATTATTTTTTAGTGAGGTACTCGGCTACTGCGTGTATTAACATTATTGAGCTTATTTTTGAGAGAGCCAATAATGCCGTCTACCTTAGACAAACGATTTTCCACTAGTTTGTGGCGCACTTGAAAAGACTATATATTAGTACTATTACAAACTTTTTATTCATTCAAGTGCATTCGGTCACCGAAACTCATCGTGTAAAGTGTTGATGACTTCATACATTTATTCCCCTTCATGAATTTAAATAAATCAAAAACAAATGTTTGTGCAGAATATTAAAATGAGGCCATCATTTATTTCTTTGGATTCTTTTCACCTACTTACATATTTGCCGAAACGATTGCTACTAAACGTTCAGAATCTGACGTATTTGTTCAGAAATATTCACTTATTAGTCTCTTTTCATTGGTGACTCAACGTCTATTCTATTTCATGCAACCGGTTCCCTTTATTAGTTTGAAGAGAGAAAGAACGAACATGTTTGCAGGATAATACGAGCTCGTTTTATTTCGTGGATACCCATCAAGTGCATACATCCTAAACAAAATCAAATTATAGGTTTCAAGAAAGTTAGGGAACATACTTTTTCATAATTACTTTGAGTTATAGATAGAAGGCATAAGGAACATAATTCCAGAATTTGATGTAGGTAGACAGATTATTCAGTGTCAAAAACAACTAATAATATATATAGTGGAATTAGATAAGAAGGGTGAGAGTTCAGATTTCTATTGGAAAGAACACAGTTTGGTTAGAGGCATATTACAGGGTCAGGGTCAGAGAACAGAGTGAATTTACACATCTTGTGGTGGAGAGTTTAAGAGGGTGGGGGTGAATAGTGAAGTAACATTTTTAACTTAAACAGACAAACAATTAAGTAGATTTAGAAACTTGAAAGTCAAAATTGAATAGAATGTTACGTAAAAAGACAAACACACAGGCATACTGACAGAAAGGCAAAACAAAAATAAAATAGAGTTAGGATTACCAAGGTAGTGAAAGATTAATCACACTGTCTTTCTGTATACAGAGGTCTGGTCGAAATCTCTTGATAGCAATGGCTTCTGCGAAGCCATAATCATTTGCTTTCCGCCACCCCAACACTTTTGCCTGAGTTTAATTCAGTTCTTTTTGTTTCTATAACTTGAGTTAAACTTACCACACTACTACTCATCATCAACTTCTCTCCTCTATTGTTGACTGTTCAACTCAATTTTCAATGAATCCAATCATTGATTTTGTATGTTTGTATTTTAAGCTCCCTCGTTAGTTATATAAGTGGAACTTCTGAACACTGTTAATTAACATTTGCTTCTGTTAACAAAAATTATATTGATCCTTGCAAGTATGACGACCTTTACATAATCAACTTTTAGGTCGTAAGCAGTTAAAGCCAATCCAACGAAATAAATGATGGCCTCTTATTAATATTCTGCACAAACATTTATTTTTGCTTTGTTTATGTTTATGACTTATTCGATAGATTTGCGTGTAAAAAAGCATAGCACAAAATTGTTGCTTTTGGCCTTGTTGTAAAATTGTTTCAAACCTGTCATTTTTAATTCACTTGTTTCTGTCAAGCTCGTTTTCTGTGTAATCACTCCGTCTTCACACTCTGTTACACCTCAGGTTTAGGGTTCGTTAATCAAAATGTTTACCCTTCTCTAAATTTAAGTATCTGATCATAAACACATCCCCAGCATCCAATCAGATGACTTCATCAATGCTTTCTTATTCACATTAATATTTTTTGAGCATAGATTAAAAATGTTGCTTAGTGCTAGATGTTTGTTATCTGTCCGTCTCATGTGTTAATTTTCCTTCTCCATGTCTGGTAATACGAATATTTTGCCTTTTGCCAACCATATACTACTGGTTTCTTGTTGATATCTAGCTAGATATTTTGAAAACAGAAAATGTTTTTGCTGGTTTTCCTGGGAAATCAGAGGTATTCATGTCAGTGTACATAATGGATAGACGTAGAGGTGTTGATCTATTATATGGAAAAACTCTAACTAAATGGAAACCTTTCAGACTAATCCATCACATCGTTTGTGAGTGTCACCTACTCACACAGAATTACGGTGTGGTTTATTATTTGAGAAGTAAGTAGAACATCATCTACAGTTCAGTTAAAAAGAAAATTTTCGAAGTAACTACTCATATAACATATGAATTCTTCATTCCTGTCAGACTTATGGGTGAAGTCATCTAGTCTACTTATGAAAAACTACAATTTAACTAATATACACTAACTGTTGCCTTTCCTTTATTTTTGATCTATTTTAATTTCATTTCTGTAGGTTGTAATGAATTGAACTCTGCTAATAATGACAGAGTTATAGCTCATGTGAATCAATCCCGCCTGTCAATCCCAAGTCCGTGTAATCATAATTATGGTGTTTCAAAAAGTCAAAATTATGATGCTCAGCCGCAAGCTTGTAAAATGTCTAGGAGTAGAATTGTTTGGTATAATGAAATATCGAAGTATCAACCTACCTTTAGTGCTCTCAAACCGTTGAACTTGGAAAATAATCAGTGTAAGGATCTTAATAGTTCATTCGTTGGTCATTGGTCATTTTCCGATATTCGACCACAACTTAAAGAGATTGTGTCCAAAATGACCATTGAATATTTCTCTCAAGGTTATCTAAAGCGGGCCTCACAGCTGATTACAAATATTCCGGAAATTTTTATTGATGATTCGTCTTTCAGTCGAACGAATGTTCTGGCTAATTGGATAATGAAGCATATGTAAGTTAGTTTCCTTCACTATATCCAAGTAATTTAACATTACTCGCTTGTAGTTAAGTTTAAATTACTTTGGTTTATTCTTATAGTTCTAATGTTTCTTACTTGATTATATTGGTAATATATAAGGATAAAACTTGGTCACTGTGGTAGAGCATAGTTCCATTATGCATAAAATCATATCTAGGATATGATATGATTATGAGCAATAAATTGTGTTCGAGACATCATCAGTATATAATATTACTGAATAACACTGTGAGATTTTATCAAAGTAAATTTTATCCATAATGGAATATTGGTAATCGCTTTTCTTAAATTTTATTCCTTTGTGTTACATATGAAACATAGGGCTTTAGTTTTGAAATTTATGTAGCACTAGTGCTTATTTTTCACTAGTTCGATTTGCCGACTTCGTGTCCAACCTCCCCTCTTTACTGGACCAACTTTCCAACTAAGCGAGGTTTAGGAGTGCCTAAGTTGGCAAATGAACACCTGCGTGGTTGGCGAATATTCTGCCACTGAACTACCTAAGCCTTAAATCTAGAATGTATTGGACAACCGCTTCATCTTAGAATGGCGCTCTTCATCAGTAAGCATCCACGAGGAGTCGAACCCTGAAACCTTCTGGTTACAAAATAACCTCGTAGACCATTCAGCCACAGGAACAATGAAGTAATATTCAAAGCATATCTGATAAAGGCATTGCTTTACTCCTGTTACACACGCGAAATATGCACTGAATAACTCCCCTGCCCCCATAGAAACTGTTCTCCTATGTCATTCTACTATATCAATCTGCGTCCCTATATTTATCTCAGTATCTAAGTTTTTCCGTAACTTATCCTAAAAATACATCTTTTGATTCCTCACATGACAACAAACGCCTTCTTTGACTTGCATATATTATATGGTATTTAATTTTTATCTTCTGTTAATATAGGCGTGATCTTCAACCAGTTCTTTCGTGGTCTCAAGCATTTTACAATTTACTCACTGATTTTAATATTTTCACCATCAAAAATGAAAGTCATTTTATTTCAAAAGAAGCATCTGTCTCTCAGCCTTTCAATACTGTACAAGTTGAAAAAGCTGAATCAACTTTTCCTTTTGATACGTGGTGAGTATTCCTTTTAAAATTCAGCTAGGTGGCATGCCACCCCTAAAACCTTGTAGGACAGTTGCCCTATTGATCTGTTACGCAACTGCGTTATATTTTAATCTTCTCAATATTATCACCACTTTGACTCTATACACCCGGAATGTTGAACCGTTTTTTCAGTCTCTTCATTCACCTAGAGTAATATTAGAGTAGTGCAAATGAAAAGTTACATCACAGAACAAACCAACCGATTCGATTCAGAATCTAAGGCTTCATTTTCAATTGATGCATCAAATAAATATCCGTTTTCAGAATACACTTCTTCGTCGTTTATATGGGGAATAGAAGTATGAACTTATAACTGCAATTTCTTAGTTGATTCGTAATAGTCTGTATTCACATTATCTACATTCAAGATAGATGGTGTCGGAAAACTGGGTATAGATTGGAACGAATCTTTTGATTTTGAAAATTAACTCAAAAACACACAGGTGTTCACTGGACACATCACTTACTCCGTCTCTGCAGATCGACTGACAGTATTAATTAGAACATATCAGGCTATTTCCTGGTAAAGCTGCAAGCGCTTAAAGCAGATGGAGATGGACCTCAGAAACTGAAGGATTAGGCTACAAAGGATGAGTTCACCACAGTCATCAGGAAGAAGTCGGAGACACTAAGTGACATCACTGAGGCAACGTACGTTGAAGAACACTACGACTCTCTGAAAGTGATGTTGAAGGAAGTCTGTATTGTGTAGCCATCTGAGTGAGGAAGGAAGGCGTGGAAAGACAACAAATGCCTCTCTACACGCGTGTACAACCTGATAGTCGAGAGGGAGAGAGGCAAGGATAGTGGAACAGTAGATGAACCAGTGCAAAGGTGGACAGGGAAGGGAACAAGCTGAGTTTATTCTACACCTCACTGAACAAAGTTGTAGAGTGTGAGACTAAAGGTGAAAGACGACTTTATGACACACTGGACACTGGAGCACAATAGGCAACATGGAAGAGACACCTCGGAATACTATGTCAGATAACCAGGTCTCTATCCGTGAGGAGTCAACACCTATGAGAGGAATGAAAGAGAACCTAGTTAGGAAAGGGGAGAAACACAGGAAACACTGGGCTGATAACTTCAAAGGAATAATGACTCGATCACCACCCGCAGTTCGTCAAGAAATACCACCAAGTCACAGAACTGCCAGTGTGAACACTAATCCGCCAACAAAAGCAGAAGTCGTGAATACGATAAAGTTACGGAAGGCAGCTGTACCAGATGAACTTGCCTGCGGTAGCAAAGAAAATGGACGCGGAGGCCTTTGTTCACTTCAATACAGCCAAACATATATTCAGAAGTGAATGGTAGTTGACACAGCTGTAAAAGCTGTTAATAAGCTAAAACAGTGAGAGCCATTGGATCTCTACCGCCTCATCCTAACTGATTGACGCAAGAAGACTGATTCCTGCGAGCTCCGATTATGATGAGGAGCGAAAGCTACTCAAACGAAAACTAACAAGAAGTCTTCGCAACGACAGTGAACAGTGGTGGGCGACAAAAGCGAAAGAGATGGAAAAGGCATCTGCGATTGGTAACACTGGACAACTATTTAGGCTTATCAGGGGAACAGGTGGTAAAAGGCAAATGATAAGTGAAACAATCTCTGAGAAAAATGCCACCGTAATTAGCTCCCAGGATAGACGACTGGAACGCTGGAAAGAACACTGAGGAGCAATTCCATTGGCCTACAGCCACGCTCAACCCGCCGAACATCCAACACCTCGCTGAATGGGATATAGACAAAGGTCCTCCTCCCTCGTGCCTAACTGAGCTTACTAAGGCTGTCACTCATTTGAAGCGAGTCAAAGCAGCAGGACCTGATGGAATGACTCCAGAAGTACTTAAGCACGGTGAAGACAGTTTACTCTCTGCGTTAACTGAGGTACTAGGCAGCGTCTGGGAATCAGAGGAAGGCCCGTCAGGTTGGTGTAAGTCACCGATCATCCCGATATACAAGAAGGGAGACAAGTCTTCCTGTGATAATCACAGAGGGATTAGCTTGACTAATATGGTGGTATCTGAAGTCCTAGGCTGAATAATATTGCGTAGACTAAGTGGTTCTCGGGAGGCACAAACATGTGAAAACCAGGCAGGTTTTAGGCCAGGGAGAGGGTGTATTGATCATATCTTCACCCTTCGACAGATTCTAGAACACAGGCATTCTTACCGGCGTCCGACAGACGGTAGTTGATTGGAGACTGGTGTAGTGGGTACTCAGGTGAGATCACAGGCGAGTGCAATAAATACGATTTAATGGAATGAATGAAAAGTGTGTGCTAATTAGAATGTAGAGTGTAGCTATTTGTATGAAAGTTTTACTCTCATAGTTTTGATTAGCAGCTGCCATATTAATGCACATAGTTTTGATTAAAGAGACACTTGGGGTGGACACAAATTGAAATATGAAACATTAAGCATTACTTAATATGCTGTCGACTTCAGAAATATCACCACATCTACAAGAAAAATCTTATCTTCCTGATATATTTCTTTGCCTAAGAAGTCACGTCACTTACTATATAAACAGTGGAAAATTCTTTTACTTTTTGATTTGTTATATTTACATCATAAATGATCTTGTTCTTATTGATGTGCCATATTTGATTCTCACCACCCATAATTTAGTTCGATTCCGAAGCAGTCACTCTATCAGTTGAACTATCTGTTGAACCAGTTGAACTTAGCGAACTGTCATAACTGGGAGTGCCTAATCAACTTGCTTTGTCTAGATCGAGATGCTTTTCTACGATCAGTCAATATGGCTGCTAACAGTACAATACTATCATTTATCTCTGCGTTGAATGTTAAAGAAATTCAAGATCAAATTTCAGCATCAAATATCAGTTCGAATGAGTTAGTGTATAGTGGTGTCGATCACACTTCAGCACCCAATGTACATTATGATTTTGGTTGCGCAAAACAGTTGTTATCTGGTTTGGAAGAATTGAAACATTGGTCATCTGAAAAATATCCTCTTTATTATGAGTTTTTGATTTCTTGTGAACCTGAAGTCAAGTAAGTGCCTTGTAAATGTCTTTAAAAAATAGATGAAATATTTTGTTTTACGCCATAAACTGCATAGTAATAATTCTAATATTTTTTTCATTTCTAGTATTCTATAAAATTCGCATTCCACTTGGAAACATTGCTTTCGGGAAATTTAATAGAAGTTTTTCGGTTAAATGCAAAGTCTGCACACGACAGTTCGTAATCAGTGAATCTGCGTTATCTGGTTTTCTTAATAATAAATTCCTCACAACTCAAATGTTGATTTCACGTAATCGACATAGCAGTACACGAAGGAGACCTTGTTGGGCACCTCCATGTCTTGTATTCTGCACCCAATCCTTAAAAGACCTTATCATTTATATATATGTCATCGGTGTCCCTACGTTTTGTCATCGCTAGCGACTGTTAACGTAAAAGCGGTGTTTCCTCGTGGCCTCACTTGTTGACAACCATCAAAAGGAAACCAAGAGATCTTATCGTACTGTGTTTGGAAAATAACCAACTAGAAACAGTATTATTCGAGAGGTGATGATTGTCATTATTATTGTCTTTAGGTTCCTAGTATATCATAGGGCTTCATCATCACTTATATAGACTAGTCATTTGAATTGGTTAGATTGTGGAAACTCGGATACGGCCATTAATCGAAACTTGACTGCTTTTGGACTTACTTTTTTCAGTTTCCAGTTAATCACAGTTGATATGTTAGACATAAACATTGCATACTTTTAGCGAACCCTAAAGGAAGTGAAACTTTGCTCCATATAGAAAGGCGAAGTAGTTGACGATGACGATGGATTAGGCCAAAGCAAGCATATTACTGACCACCAGCTGTGTTAATGGGGGAGGTATTATGCCCGGCGGATGCCCGATGCTCTTCACCGGGTTGACTGTCCATTGGATGACAGTCTAGGGGAGATGGCTAAACCCTGATTTCAAACCTCCAACGACTGGCGTATGAAGCTCACTGGAGCTCACCGGCAGACGTATGGACAAAGGGCTTGTTGGATGTCCTGGATGTCTGGCCCCATTCAAAAAGGCGTATGAACCGAACTCCGGTCACCGGCTGCCAATGGATAGTGGACTCCCTACTCCACTCCTACTGCCTTGTAGGTCACACTTGGCTGTGTAAAGGCTAGAGCTGCACTCTCAAACAAAAGGCCGAGCGATTCTGGGGACTTCGCTCGTGACTTCACTTCATGAACTCTCTTACAAACGACTCTCACCATGCTACGGCGTTCCCGGTAAGCGACGTGCCCTGTGCTCACCCGGTGGCCAGTGTGAAAAGTAAGCCAGCTGGGAAATTAACACTTAGGAACCAACTATTTGTTGGCTGCTGGAATGTTAGGACGCTGTTGGATCCTGGTAGCCAGTCTATCACCATGCGTTCCTTATACGACTACAAGGTGGACATAGCGTGTCTATCTGAAGTGAGGTTACCCGATCATCGCTCCCGCTGAATAGCCGTATCTGGAACAGATTCTTCATTCTGGTTGCTTCATAGTGGACCCCAGAATAATTCGGAACAACGTGGGGTAGCATTTACTCTCAGTAACAAAGCCAATAATGCCCTAATATCGTTCGAACCGGTCAACTCCAGAGCTGCAATCGCTAGGTTCAAGGGTTTCCCGCTCGACATTTCTGTTCTCGCTGTCTATGCCCCAACCCTCGACTCTGATGAAAGTATCAAAGACGAATTTTATGACAATCTTCAAGAGGCAACCAACAAAATACCATAGCGTGACGTTCTCATAGTAGCCGGTGATTGGAACGCCGGCACTGGCCTTTCAGACGACGCGACAAAACATATACTAGGCAAACACGGTCTCGATCAGCGCTGCCGTAATGGTGATAGACTTTTAGCTTTTTCTGATTACAATCGATTATATTTCACCAACACTCGATTTCAACACCCTAGAAAACATCTTCTCACCTGGTATTCGAACGACGGTCGCACTGCACATCAGATTGACTACATCCTAGTGCGCTCACGCTGGATCTCCTCGGTGGAGGACTGCCGATCCTATCGTGGCGCAGAGGCCGGAAAATAAAGGGGGATCAGACCATACTCTAGTTAGAGCGAAATTCAAACTTCGTTTAACAACACGCCAGAAGGCGCGACCTCCGAAGCGTATCAACGTTGCCCTGCTTCAATGTTCGACAAAGAGACAAGCCTTGTCCAGACAAATCCAGGCCGAACTAAGCACCACATCTTCTAATACACCTGAGACACGATGGAATCATTTCAAAGAATTAGTCTCTAAAGCTTCAATGTCGCATTTGGGTACCACATCCAACAAGCAGAAAGACTGGATTTCAGAGCACACTATGCATCTATCCTCGCAAGCCAGAGACGCTCGCCTAGCAAAGTCTCCAGTTTATCGCTCCCTCAGGCGCAAAGCTACACAGTCTGCTAGGAATGACAGAAATCGCTATTGGTCTAATGTGGCGACTAACATGGAAGGAGCATCAAATGTAGGCGATTTTGGAAAACTTTATCGCCTCATACGCCTATCATCTGGCAAACGCCTTAACAACCATGCTGTGTTACTCACAGCATCAGGAGAAATTATTTCGGACACCAATGGTAAGATGGAACGATGGGCCGAAGATTTCAAGCAGCTACTCAATCGCAACGCTGGTCAACCATCTCATCGACCGATACGACACTTACCAACACCCTACGTAGTTGACTTCGATCCACCCACTCCAACCGAAATAGCTAAAACAATTAACAGACTCAGAAACAAAGAAGCTCGAGATGTTCATGAAGCCGGCTCATCCTCCCGTAGGAGATAGCCGAAGTAAAGTAAGTAAGTATTATGCCTACATACCGGCTGGTTCGATAGTCAGGATTTAAATTGCACAGATATTCATTTTCTATATGTTAACCAGAAAAACAAACTAGTCAGATTTCACAACGTTGAAAGATACCCAATACTTGCATCAGTGTTGACGCATAATTAGTGTCATGATATTGTTTTGTATGATTATTGTTATTATATATCATTGTATTTACATAACCTCTCTCTCACTCCAACAATCATGTGTGATTCTTCTTGAAGTCTCGACTTTGAGTCAGGAATAATTTACCAGGAAATTATTGAGTTTCTAGTGTCGTTATCTTTATTCGTGTAAAGATTCTGCAGTCAGAATACCATTCTGTGAAGTTTACAATGTGGTGTTTACCATTTCAAGTTTTCTAGTTTTTAACGGTTCCATGAAGTTTGACTAAGCTGCACATTGTATTTATTTTAATTTCAGTGAAATTTCTAATAAGCTCAAGCTATTTTCCAACGGGAAAGGTGACTTAAACTTGCAGTCTATTTTTGCTGGCTATAATTTCCACGACTATGAAGAGGACATTGTTAATATGCTAAAGCGCCAAAATATAAAAATCGACAAATCCACTTTTTCATCACTTCTTCACATAGGATCACATTTTTTGAAATCGCAGCAGATGGATGGTGTAAACCATTCTGCCAGTGTAAGTCATTATTTTTTTATTATTTATTATTCATTGATCACTCGGGTTCCAGGGGGAACGTGAAGCATCAACAGCATATCTCTAAATCATCCTGTACGCTGAAATCGTCCTCCGTTGCCTGCTCGATTGCACATAAGCTCTTTTCTCATTCGCACATGATCTCTTTCATGTCACCCTTGAAAACCGGACTCGTCGTTTTCCATTCGAGTTGCACTTTCAGTCCTGCTGCGCGATGTCATCCAACGGTCTCCTCAGCGTGTGTTTGATTTATCTCTGTTTAATTTGGCATATTTATTGGGTGGTAGTTTCTTGGTTGGGAGAGTTCGTCGTTTCTAAGCACTTGTGGGCATCTGATCTTGAGTATGGAAGCAGTGAAGGCAGCTGTTGAGGAAAGTATGCATCAGCTTATTGGGAATGCTTTTGGTGACGCGTCAACTGTGTGAAGTATGCAGTTGCGCTGACTTGACATTGGTTTGGAAAATTTGAATCTTGTTCTTTGCGCAGAGTTCGGCAGGTTTCCAAGCTCCTTTCAGCGGCATAAGTCAGCGAAGAGCGTCTCTTCGGCTAATTCATACACTTTGTTGTGCAATCGCAATTATATATATTCTTATTTTTGTATGTGTACGTTAGTGTACATTAAGTTTTTCCGATAAGAATAGAAAAACGTCAGGGTTATTGTTGTCAAACCATTCTAAAAATGTGATGAGTAATCAAGTTGTAACTAGGGTGGTGGGGTGAAGGTTGGTGAGAGGTTAGTGGTAATGTGTTGTCGAAAAAACATATTTATTATTGTTGAATAGGCGTAATACAGCTACGTGATTAGGTGAATAGATTATTGAGTGAGTTGTGATTAGGATGCACACAGAAACAAATTAAAATGTGGTATTGTGTAAGAGCTGTGAAGAAATTCAAGAGTTATAAGGAGTTAGAAAGACTGTCACACAAACATCAAGTCAGTAGGAATCAACACGGTTGTTGCCATGATAGTAGAAATGGTCAAATGACTTTCTTTTGTATACGTAACTTTGGTTTGTCCAACTGAATGGCTAAGGCTTCAGCAGTACAAAGGAGACGAAAGCGTATTGCCTTTTCGAGGTCGTTCTTCAATCTGTAGATCACTTTGAAGGAGGTGTGTGTTGAAACAGAATGAACGGTGTTGATGAGATGTTTGATTAACACACTCCTTATACAGCTACTTTTACCGTTTGGTTGAGATGCGGGATAGTGTTCTTGAATCCTCACCTGGCTGACTGCATGAGTTGGAGTAGAGTGCCTCGATCAGTGCAATGTATTTTCTCGGCATTCCCTTTACAGCTAAGCATCGCCAGAGTACCTCTCGGTCGACAGAATTGAATGCCTCCTTTAGGTCAAGAAATGTAATGATTGTTAGACACCGGTTAGAATGCCGATGTTCTTGTGTGATGAGTGCTACTTATAATCCTATCGGATTATATAAGTAGTATATCAGAAAGCGAATTCAGAAGAGTAACAATATGTTTTGTACACTGGAAAGAACGATCAAAGAAGAAAACCATGAGAAGAATGTTGCCCTATGATGCAGAATTCAAGAAGCTATCGAATGTGACGATGTTTGACCAATTCGTCAAGGATGTGGTAAATGATGTGCAAATGGCAGTTTGAAAATATGGTATACTAAGCTTACCTATGTACAATACGTTTCACCGACTAAACATTCCTTTTAGCCTCCTTGGTCTTCTCTTCGCTGCTTTTAGTGTCGCTGCTTCTGCCGGAGATGAAGGAGCCGTGGCCGCAGGTGTTCGAGGAGGGAGATGTGCGAAAGTTCTTCAGTGCTTTCGAAGCTGTCGTGGAGCTGGTTGGTATGCAGGAGCAGAAGGCGAAGCTGGTTGTCTTGGGAACTCCGCTGAGGGGCCGCGCGAAAGCTGCGTACGACAACGCTTGGGAGCTGGAAGGTGAGGCGGCGTGGGACAAGTTCGTCGAGAGGCTCGTGTGCTAGCTCGACAGCCCCGCGGACAGACAAGAGGCGCTGCAGGAGTTTCGGACGCTGAGACTTGGCCAGGACGGGGATCCGTTGGTTCTCGCAGTAGCGCTGACCAATCACCTGCGACGCGCGTTACCCACCCTAGACGAAGATTCACGGGAGCAGTTGCTTGCATCTCAGTTCCTCGAATGCGTCCCGACAAATATCGCTCATCAGTTGCAGCTAGTTAACGCAGCTCAAACAATAGATGTTTATGAAATGGCAAAGGTGACAAGGCAGATAATGACTTCGCATGTTGCTCCAGTGATGGCGGAGTGCCAAGATTCGAAGAAGATTGAAGACGAGATTGAAGAGTTGAAACAGCAGGTGGCGGCTATGCAGATAAGGAAAAGATAAAACAACAGATGTTTTGCTTGCGGAGGAACCGGTCACTGGCAGAGAAACTGCCCGAAACGAAGGCAAAGAAACTTCAAACGGTACAAGCTTTCTTCTTTTTCTCGCTCGCGTTTGGAGGTGGTCGGATTAGTCGAAAGAGGTTCAGTGTACGGGAGATTACGGGTTAACCAAAAAGAACTAGTTTGTTTGATCGACACAGGGACCGCAGTTTCGTTGATAGATAGAGAACAGTGTGAGGAAATAAGGCCATGCACATTAGCAGTTCAGACTGTAGGAGGACATCCTTTGCACATTCTCGGCGTTTCAGGCCGCGTTGTAGAGATTGGAGCAGGGAAAATACGATATCCGTTTATTGTAACTTCTGATATAAGACGAACGATTTTGGGAGCAGACTTTCTCAGAGAAGTAGGAGCTGTAATCGATATGAAGAATAGAAATGTGGTCACAAAACACGGGCAATTTGCGATACATGAGAATAGTGAAGTCGCTGAGGTGGAAACCACAACCATTGTTCCGCAAGATGCACCACGTCTAACCACGTTGATGAGTAAAATGCCGGCTTATTCACTAGTGATGGAGACCCGTACGGTTATTGTGAAAAGGTAAAGCATGTCATCCCACTGAAGGATCCGGGGAAGACAGTCTTTTCATCGCGACGAGTTCCGGTTCACCTAGAAGAAGTTAACCGACAAGTCAGAGAAATGTTAAATGATGGAATAATCGAAGAAGCCGACAGCCGGTACAGTTCGCCAATCCTTTTGGTAAAGAAAGAGAACGGGAAGTATAGATTTTGTGTCTATTTCAGACAGCTGAATAGCCTTACCGAAGTAAAGCAGTGTGCAATGCCTACCGTAACAGAAACCCTTGATCGCCTTCATAAAACCAAGTTATTCACCGTGTTCGACCTAAGATCGGGTTACTGGCAGATCCCAATAGCAGAAAGTGATCGAAGTAAAACAGCTTTCACAGTTGGGCAGAAACAATGCCAGTTTAAGCGAATGCCATTTGGATTGGTAGGTGCCCCATTTACATTCAGAAGATTAATGACCTTATTACTGAAGGGTCTGAAGAACGTAGAAGTATATGGAGATGGCTTGGTGGTATGCAGTATAGTGAGACGGAAAGCGACCATATAGACCACATCGAAGCTATCTTAAAGAGAGTTGATGACTTTGGACTGCGGATTAATAACAACAAGTCCTAAATAGCCAAAAACACGGTTGTCCTCCTGGGTTACAAAGTGGGAAATGGAGAAATACGGCCATTGCCTGAGAAAATCCTGACGGTCAAAACCAGCGAAGTGCCAAATTCAAAGCGAAAGCTGAGACAGTTTTTGGGAAGAGCGGCATTCTACAGCCGATTTATCAAAAATTTCAATAAGATAGCAAAACCGCTATATACGTTGCTGAGTGACGCGAAATTCATGTGGACGGAAGAGGCACAGCAAACGTTTGAGTGAATTAAAAAGCTGTTAGATGGTCAACAGATGACGTTGAAACTGCCAGCGCTGGGGAAGCAGTTCACAGTTTCGAAAGACGCCAGTGATTATGCTATAGGTGCTTTTTTAAGACAAACGGATGGGGTTGTTGAATACGCTAGCCGTGTGTTGACACTTGCAGAACAGAAGTATTCTACGGTGGAAAAGGAGTGTTTAGCCATTGTATGGGCACTAGAAAAATGGAGACCGTATCTGATTTGCCGCCGATTCCACATTGAGACCGACCACAAATCTCTTCAGTTGTTGAAGACAGCATGGGATCCACGAGGGAAGTTATCACGATGGATGTTAGGCCTACAAGAGTATGACTTCACGATTGAACATATTCCAGGAAAAGAAAATGTAATAGCTGACTATTTGTCGAGATCAGATAATGAGACTGAACTACATACTGAACTGCATACGCTACGTATGCAGTAAACGCTTTGAAGCAAGATCCCTTACATGATAGAGAAGATTTGTAGCTCAGGTGGATGATTTTGATGTGGTTGTGTTCTCTGAGCTGGATGGTTAATTTGCGAAGCTTTCATCACCCTACTGGGTGACATCTTCAGCGCATACTTCAATTTGAAGTGAGCTTTTAGATTTCTCCACGAGTTTATTAATCATCTCTCCTGGCGACCTTGGACGTGATTGGTTGTTTTTGTGTGTTTTCACATCTTCTAGGTTACTTGTATTGTCAGTCATTGTTTCTTTGACTTGAACTTTGACCCTTTGTGTGTGACTATTCTTTCTTATCGGTTGATAAATTTTGTCTATTTCGATGTGTCTATTGATTGATGATTCACTGGAATGCCAAGCTTCTAAAAATTCTCTAGCATTCTTGTTGTTTCCTCTGTCTAATATTTGAACGTTGTCCCAGTCGAATTGATGCCCGTGGTTGTCTGTATGTAGTGATATGAGGGAGTGGATGTCATGTCTTTTGACGGCTAGCTTATGTTCGTGGATACGAAGACGAAGGGGACGTCCACTTTGGCCAATGTAGTGTTTTTCGCAGTTGTTACAATTTATTTTGTAGATGATGTTGGTTTTATCTTCTTTCGTTGTTGAGTCTTTTGGTTGACATAGAGCTAGTTAAGTGAAGTGATTTTGTTGGTTTGTGTACGACGTCAATTCCTAAAGGTTTGAAGAGTCTTGTAGTGATTT